ACGAAATTCCACCCGTATCACCTCGACGTCCGTCGTTCCACAACTGAGTGTTGTTCGCCGCGCACCACCGCTATGTGGAACCATCTACCCACTGAAGTATTGCCCAACCGATTTGACTTAGGGTCCTTCAAGAAAAGAGCGTACCAATTCTTAGAAGGCCGCACTCGAGAGCCCTCTAAAATTGAGAGTGTTTATGGGCGGCGGTATTACTTAACACCAGGTGAGCCTCCTGCCAGTTTGCCACCTGTTCTATAAAAAAAATCAACGTATAGATTTAGAAATTAGATACATATATAGGCCTACTATATACTTGAAGTCTTGAGGTGGTTAACAACCCAAGTGTTCTCCATGAACTCATCATGTTCCCCATGTTCGGGGATATGTGCGAAGGTTGTTTGCGAGACCAAGGACCAGAATCTGTTGCACAGATCCCCGTTGACAAAGACGTTTGCTACTGAATGCTGTATCCGACACTGGAAAAGCCATTAGCTATTTCCGAAATTTTACGAATTACGAGCCGTATTCCATGTTTCATAACGGTTCGTATTCAAGGTCATTTTTATTTAATTTATTCTCTCAAACATCACACATGTCACAACAAACATCAATCACTCATGAATATATGTTATAGAAAGGATGTGTGTGTGGACGTGTGTGACATGAGAGTCAGGTCCATGCAACTTCCTCAGTAGCCCGCAATATCGCAGCACAACTCTGGGGTCTCTTTGTGAAAGTCGCATGGGTCCGCCAAGCATACGCGAATATACAATACATATATATCAGTAATGTATCAATATACTTATAAACGTTGTGTAAAACAAAAAAACTTGGCGATTAAAAAGAGTGGCGGAGAGTTTATCGCCAGTTCTTCTCTTCCGTTCTACGCCCTTGATTTGAGAACTGGCAGTAAATGTAAAATTAGAAGCATTTAATGTATATTTCTTTTTTGACGTTCATAAGTGTACATTGTGTTACCTGTATGAATAAATGACTTTGACTTTTGACTATTAATTAAAGATTTAAGTAGGCGTCTGGTGGTACCGATGACCCCAGAGCTGGTGCTTTGCTTTAAGAATAATTATCGCAATACAGCAAGGAAATGCTGCCAGAGTTAAAGGTACACTGCCACAGGGACCAAACTTTTTAAATTTGTTTAAATTTTTAATTATTATTACTATGTACTATGTAGGTTAAGCATATTGTAATTACTGTATATTTGTATGTTGGACTAAGAAATTTATCTTTGAAGTATTTCTGAACGTATTTAATCTTTCTGGCAGTGTGAGTCATAGTATTACTTGGCAAATATATGTTATTAGAACCCAAAGCAACATATATACTGATTATATGTATAATTAATGTTTAATTATTTCCACGAATCCAATCTTTGTTTATCATTACATTGATTTTCGTTGTTTTAATATGTAATCTAATCGCAGTTATGTACAACTTGGCATGTTTGTTTATTAAGATAAGAAATTTGTATAAAATCTCAACTAAAATTGTCAATTTAATTTATTGCCAACACACAAATATATACAATAATTAAAAATTAAAACAAATTCAAAATTATTATTAGTATTGCGATACTTAATCTTTGAAAGCACCAGGCGCCAACTTAAATCTTTAATTAGCTGTGCAATTCAACCCCTCGGCCCAAGAGTCTGTACTCCAAAGGGAACAAATAAAAATAAATTTTAAAATGTTCCCTGTTGCAGTCCATTCAATGCTGGCATTTCCTCGCTGTATTGCGATACTTATTCGTTCAAAGCACCAGCTCTGGGGTCACCAGGCGTCGACTTAAATCTTTAATTAATATTGATACATAATTGATATATATATGTATTGTATATGCGGATGCTTGGCGGACCCAAGCGAATTCGACACAGAGTTTCCGATATTGCGGGCTGCTGAAGAAGTTGCACGGATCTGCCTTGCGATTCTGTAACTCACTTTTCGAACTCACACAGTGGTTTTCGCATCGCCGGTCGCTCGATGGTGTGAGTTCGAAAAGTGAGTTACAGAATCGCAGGGCTGGTTAGTCTTCTTAAGTTCTCAAGTCATTTACACACACATACAGTGTAAACTCCTTATAACGAATTTCAACGGACCGAGCATTTTTTTTCGTTATAGGGAGATTTCATTATATGAAGGGAGTGAAGAGAAAAAACAAATTTAACCAATTACAATAATTTATACATATATAATAGGTAGGTGACGATGGTGCGTTTAGTAACTGGGACCAAAATTTCCCACAGGCCATGTAATCTAAGAATAATGGCACACGTGTTAGTGCAATTAACAATAACAAAGGCGAGACGGCTGTTTATGATCTCAGGTGACTTTCTTAGAAATTTCGGCACCTCAATGGGTTAGTTTTGTAAGCTGATTATAATTCAATTATACTTAAGTATGTTGTTGATGTCTAAATATGAAAATATTTATTCGTAATAGAGAATGGGTGTTGTGTTATACAGAGTGTATTAATGTATGGGTTTTGTGTTAAACCAAATAAATCAATGGCGTTATAAGGAGTGTACACTGTATATACTTTCTATAACATATATTCATAAGGGATCATCGTTGTAACATGTGTGATGATTGAGTCTCTACTCCAAAGGGACAATAATTAAATTTTAAAATGGTAGTAGCTGTGTTATAATTCGGACATTTCCTCGCTGTATTGCGATACTTATTCGTTGAAAGCTCTGGGGTCCCCGGTACCACCAGGTGCCAACTTGAATCTTATTTAGGTGTGCACTTGAACCTTTTAAATTTCTATATTTATTAGTAGCTTTGCTCTGTGGTTTTACCCGTATTCATTCGTTCCACAAAGTTCTATAACCTAAAGCTTTCGGTAAATAGACTTTTAAATGCAAGAATGTTTTTGTTACACATTTCGCTAAGGCCCTTCTTGAATTTAACGTTGCGTACAGCAGTGTTGGCCTAGTGGCTTCAGCGTGTGACTCTCATCCTTGAGAGGGAGAACCACGGCTGTGCACCAATGGACTCTCTACGTGCGCATTTAAACGCTCGTACGAAGGAAAACATCGTGAGGAAACCGGCTTGTCTTAGACCCAACACAATGGCGTGTAGGTACAGGAGGACGATCACCTACTTGCCTATAAAACAAATTATCATGATACAGATACAGAAATATGAGGCTTTCAAGGTTGTAGCGCCACTAGTTATTTGTTTTCACCTACATATTCTGTAGATTTGCCTTTACTTGTTTCATTGATACTACTGTATGTGAATTATCAAATATAATTCTTCTCCGATTATATTCTCTGTCTTTTGTTTCTTGATTACTATATATAAACTCTTTTGCACAAACAATTACATTTACACACCTTTGCTCATCAAAAAGAAACAGGCGTTTATTTTTAACCTAAACAATGAATAATAAAGAGAAGTAATTTAAGAAATAATTCACCGTACCAATTTTAAATGCGCACTTAGGAATTCCATTGGAAAGCAAGAACTACCCACACGATGAACCCTCAAGGCTTGGTACATAAAAAATAACTTGATTACAAACTATGAGCGGTTTTAAATGTTAAAAATAAACGCCGTATACTTTTTGATTAGCAAAAGTGTGTATCTTTTAAATGGATGAAGGGGTAACAATACGTGTTATACCTGTAATACGTTAATTAAATACGTGTTCAAGCATCCTCCGTCCGTTGATACTTTTCAGAATATTAATTGAAATGTCTTATGAAAAATCCATTGCGCCGCGGCAGTGGCGCTACAACCTTTATCGGTCTCGCCCTTAGATTTCTGTATCTGATTCATTAGTCAATTTAATAGGCAAGTAGGTGATCAGCCTCCTGTGACACACGCCGGCGTGTTCGGTCTAAGGCACGATTCCTCACGATGTTTTCCTACGTACGAGCGAGTGTTAAATGAGCATTAAAAGTCCATTGGTGCACAGCCCGGGTTTGAACCTCAGGGATGAGTCGCACGCTGAAGCCACTAGGCCAATACAGCTCACGGCTTAATCCATATATAAATGAAACGGTTTTTGATAATGGAGCATTGGTAATAATTTAATAAGCAATATGCAATATATATTACATTAGAAAGCACTAATGGACTAACGGTTATCTAATGGAATAAATTATTAAGGATTATTATTTTATATATATCATATCTTAAGCATAGAACCGAACTAAACTGGAAGTTCGAGATACCGACCGATCGTACAATATTTAATTTAGATTGATTCTTTCTAATACTACAAATATCTCTTAAGCATAAATCCTAACGAGCATCGGGTTCAGGGCACTCGGTCCAACGTCTCATCACCACGTTCCCTGAAAGCACTGTCCAAAGTCATGGCGGCTCGACCCCACTCGAAGCATTTGCTGGCTCTTATTGTTCGTAATAATTTATTCTTTAAGTAATGATTTCAAAGTCCAAGTCAAATGGCTCGATCAGATTATTTCCTCATAATCAGAATCTGCCATATATTTTTATTTATAAGAACTAGAACAACATGTATGCTTAAAATATACAAGATAATATATTTAACTGAATATAAACTGAAACCTCATTAGCAAACTCAAAACTGTTTTTATCATGTGTATTAATTCAAAAAACGACACTTCTTGTATCTCACAAAATGGCGGCCATGATACAGATCTCTTAATCGATAGAGATAATATATCCTTTGATAAAACCGCAAACATTGATGATTTTTAATTGAATTTTATATTAATCGGTTGGTTAGTGTTGTATTATTTGAAGACCACGAAATGGATAAATAATTATAATTATGTTTAAGTTTAAACCAAACTAACCCGTGTCGTAACTTGCCCGGTGATATAAATATCAACGCAATTCGCTCGCACAGTGAGCTGAAACATCCTGAAGGAAACTGAAATGTCGACCTTAAGAGTGGATAATGACACCCATAAGTCAAATCCAGGAGTAAGAGATAGACGTCAGACGAGAGCGAGAAAGAGTCCAAGATACACTTGACCATTTAAATTTATTTATTCATTTCGTGGTTCTTGTATTTGTGGTAAAAAGAATAGCTTCATTGTGAGTTGTCTATGTAGTAGACATGGTCCAGGGTTTCCAGGGTCCAGGATTTTCATTGAGTGAACCGGTACCGTTTTTTTGCAGTTCAGTGTAAAGTTTTGTAATCCCCATGTGGCGGCCCCACCCAGCGTAGAACTCCAGCCTGATCGATCTCTTCCGAGTCCACTCCAGGTCATTCCAGCTTCTATCGCCTCTGCAATAATTGGTTGCCAGTTCTTCTTTTGGGGTTTTCAGTCTAGAGTTTGCTTGGCAATCTGACTTGGATCCCTCCGGAGCGTGTGGCACCTCATTGCCTAATTCAAATAATTGCTGATTTGAGATTCTCTTCTCCAGAAGTTTCGATGTAGTTCTCTCAATATCCGTAGCGCTGATATACTCCTAGGTGCGGGCAGTACGAAAACTTATTATTGGGTTAGCTTATGATGTTGTTATTGGGGGTTAAAGACGCCGACAGACAATCAGCTACACACGTCTCCATTCTTACTCTCACGATATTCGTTTTTTAAGCAAAGTTTCCACTTCAGTGGAACCAGTCCTGACTTATCAGTTTTGAGTGATTGCAAATAGTTTTTGAAATAAGCTGATGTTGCTAGTGGAACAAACCAGTTCCAGTTCCAGTTATGGAACAAAATTTGCACTTATCTCACGTCTTTGTCACCGAATCTTTCTGGATTAACTCCATAATTATTAACGCCACAAAAATGTGGAGTGTTGGCCAAGTGGCTTCAGCGTGTGACTCTCATTCTTGAGGTCGTAAAACTCTGGACTTTGTAGGAAGCCTGTCTTAGATACAAAAAGTTGACGGCGTGTGTCACCAACTCGCCTATAAGAGAAATAACGAAACATATACAGAAATCTGAGGCCCAGACGTTAAAAGTTGAAGTGACCAAATGAATCATTATGAATATATTGATTTTTCATTATCGTCCAATAAAAATTAAAACACTTCTTTATTACTTTTTTTTGTTACAGATATGCGTTTACAAATATTACTCCTATTAGGAGCAGCATGGGCAGATGTCTTACCCAATGGCTGTCCACGAGATTTCAGCGTCCATCACCTGCTGAGACACGAAGATTGCACCAAATTCTACTCATGCAGCAATGGAGTGCCCATTGAGATGTCGTGTGGACCTGGAACTGGCTTTGACTTTGATTTACAGGTATAATCCAACATTCAAACAGGTTTAGATATATTCAGGCATGACTAAGCAAGTCTTAGGCTAGAATATCAACTGGTTTGACAGCTATTCACTAGATTTAATAGCTGTCAAACCTAAATGATATATTTGACAGCGCTCAAAACATTGTGATAAGAGATATGTTACCTAAGACTTGTGGCGTAACTTTGTGTTTTGACTTACTTTGTAAAGTTAAAAATTAGTGATTAGTGACTTCCAAATGTCCAAAATTGGAAATAGAAGAGTTCTCTAAGTCTCGATTCTGATTCTCTACCTACGAGTGTATGTTATGACAGGTCTATTAACGTGTTATGTGGTCTAAGCATGAACAACATGAGATTGGAACTAAAAGTAATTAAGAAAATTGACTGAATATCTTTTTAAACGGCGCTGTTTAGTTATAAGGCTAGGCTGTTTACTAAACGGCTTATTAAGCTAGTTGGCTGAGACATATATATGTTGACCACACCCATATAATGTGTAGTCATATAAGCTCTCTCAAATAATTAAGATTGTACCTATATAGTCAAGTTTTTTATAGATATGTAATTGGCTGCATTTAGTTAATTGTGTCCCTACAACTGATAAACCAACGACAACGCATCAAACAACAACAACGGATGAGCTAACAACGGATGAACTACCAACTATAAGCCCGCCAACGACTCCCCAAGAGTGTCAAGACGTCACTTGGAGTGCTAACATGGATTGCGACGTCATTAAGAATTGCGCTGATTACGTCAAATTAAAGTTTAATTGCCCAATAAGTATGGACAAAGACAGTTATAATATATTCATGGAAATTAAGTATGAATATCCGGGAAGAACAAAGGAAAACACGAAGATGTACGCTGTGCCAAAACAATGGAAATAAATGGCATAATAATTAATAATTAAACCTTTATTTTCAATCCTTATAAATGTTGAATATACAGTTTAGATATATATATATTTACATTCGTTAATATCCTATTCTTCCTATGAGTTGTCTTTAAAGGACATATGTGCATCTTGCTATATGCCCCGCCCATTAGGCACAATAAAGAATGTTAATTAATGATTTTTTAATTATCATTTCCGTCTACTTACATATCTGAAACATAATTTATTCTAAACTTAGTTTAAAGTAATATTAAAACTAATAATTATAATTTCCTATAATTTTCTATGATTTCAAGTTTTATAAAAAAATTAGTTTATTTCATAAAAGTCTTTCAAAAAAATTAAACAAAAATTCTTACTAAAAATTGCTTGTCACAATTCAAGTGACAGGCCAAAACGCGCGTTTTTTTCCTCAGACTAACTCTCAATCTTAAAATTAAACGTCAGTCACATGACAGATAATTAACAATCTTAAATAATATTTCTAGGGGCCTCAGGGTACCGGGTTCGATTCCCGGTTCGAGGGCAAGTTTTAATTTAATTTAAATTTGTTCTCGGCCTTTGGGAGGGTTGTTCGGTACTGCTTAAACTGTACACGGAGGACACGGTCGAATTTTTAAAGACAAGCACGAATTATATAAAAAAATCCTATACTTGACGCTGGCTAATGCACAAATAGTGTCAGAGCCATAAAAAAAAACCATAAAATTTATTTAATTAATGTAATATAAATTCGGTCAGTGATCTTTGTGAATCAAAAACCTGGTCACAAAAACAGATATTAAACTGTAAGTTATTATTATATGTTTAAGGTAAGGATTTATATATTGTATATAGTTAGCGCCTGGTAGATAATACCGGTGACCCCGGAATTATCTACCAGGCGCTAAGGCAGCTGGTGCTTTCCTGAACAAATAAGTATCGCAATACAGCGATGAAATGCCAACATTATACGTGTAACACCCCTACAGGGGCCAATGTTCAGTCAGCCTACGAACTTTCAATCTAATAATAATTTTATGTTGGTTATTTATACACAGTATTTATGAAATATACGTTTTGGCAAATAATCAGGCACAGTTTCCGCCCATGGAGTTCAACGAGGCTGGCGGGTTGACTCCTAAACTATTTTAAGCGACCAAAGATATGATAAATTGAAAATAACATTAAAACAAAGAAATATTATCTTTACTCGTAATTTTCTCATGTTCACAGTTTTGCAGTTAATAGTTTTTTTTATAAACTCTCTCTGCACAAAGTAGACCAGTGCCGATAATTTTTGAAACCAAAAAAAATTACAGTAGGATGAAACCCATTAGAAAAGCAGGGGAATATGATCAAAATGAAAGGAAAAATAAATTACGGTCGATCTGAGGTCGGGAAGGGGGGGGAGTTTTAAGGGTAAAAAACGGTTTATCTCGATTTCCGGCAAAACTAAAAGTCCTATCGGAGAAAGTTACATGGCAAAGTTGTAGGTAATAAAAAGATCTAAAACTTTTGTATTCACGTATTTTTCACATAACCTCAAAATTTATGTGAAAAATTCAAAAAACCAAGTTTTTGGTTTTTAATTTTTATCTTTTACAAATTTCTTTTTTTTTAACGAAATTTGGTGAAAACTTACCTTATTATGTCCCAAATATACTGTAATTTATTTGATTAAAAATATTTATTTTTTCACCTTATTTTGAATTAATATCGAAAAAACACCCTAATTTTCAATCGAAAATTCTGACGTCTAAATTTCAGCTAAAATGCACTAACACTAATTCACTAATTCGAATGGTTTTGCCCTTGCCTACTAACAAGTAGACAAAAATATGTTTTTATTTAAATAATTAATGATTTGGGGTGGTAAGCAACCCAAGTTTCTCCAAGAACTGGGTTTCATTGTAGGGGATATGTGCGACGGCGAAGGCCTAGGTATTTTGCGATACCAAATGCCAGAACTAGTCTGTTGCACAGATCCCCGTTAACAAAGACGTTGCCTACTGACTGCTGTCTCCGATACTATATCTTTATATGTTCGCAGAGAACACAGTAGCGATATTGTGCTTATATATTTAATGTTATAATAATGAAAACCAAATATATATTAGTATTTACAATATTCTTAACCTACATAGTTAAATAATAATCAAAATATTTATAACTAGTAGACTCGGCCAAGCGTTGCCGTGGCTAAGATTTTTGTTATATTACATAGTAGTAAACTATTCAAGAGAAACGGCAGGAGAACACCAATCTACCATGCTTTTTTGGTGGTTATGCCATTAAATTGTAGCTTATGTGAAACGTTGGTATTTATTATGATAAGGATCAATACCTAGGTACGAATAAAGAGCCTTTTCTAGCGGTGGTATTTTAATTTTAAAAAAATTAATAAAAGGACGCTTATTGTGACGTAACTATAAAAGATAGAGACATGCTGTCGCGACATTTTTTATAGATAGTGATGTGTCCTGAAAAATTAAAATACATCATTTTGTTCTATCATTAATAGTTTTCGTAGCTCACGCAATTGAAGGAAGTTTTTTGTTTATTTTTTTACACCTTGGGTTAGATTATTCAAGTGATAGTAAGCATCCCTAATTTTTTTGAAAATGAAACAGCCTTTGTCACTCGGGAATAGTGTAACTTGCCAACGGTGAAAGAATTTTTGAAATCGGTCCAGTAGTTTTGGAGCCTATTCATTTCAAACAAACAAAGAATCAAACCTTTCCTCTTTATATTATTAGTATAGATTAAAAATTAATAATGGTCAATGGTACACCTTGTTGACAGCATTTCCTCGCTGTATTGCGATATTTATTCGTCGAGGCAAGCACCAGCTCTGGGGTCACCGGTACTATTTACCAGGAGCCAACTTGAATCTTTAATTAGCCCCTGTACTCTTAAATGTATGTATTTAATATTATTATGTATTATTCGACATTTCAGTTCAGTTAGTGTATGTATTTTTTGTTAATAAATAAATGCAAAAATCGGTCCCAAACTTATCTTAATCTTGATAAAGTTGAAATCTGATAATGATTGTATTATTTTCGTAAGTGTTTCCGCGAATTTCGTCATAATTCAACCGCTTCCTGCGCCACCATTGCGCTACAAATGAGTAAAAAACAACTGTCAACTGTCAAGTATCTTTCTTGACAGAATGACAGAAGCGTTAGAGAGCAGTGTTCGCATGGAAGCGCTATCTACTGCCAACATTTGGAACGACCACAATTACGCGAATTAAAGTAATTGCAAATTCCTATTTCGCAGGGTGTATTAATGGTTGTATTGGAGTCACATTTTGTTAAATAAATAAATAAACTTAGCAAAATACTTAGTATTTTAATTTTTTATTGTTGTTTTTATATTTATATTAATAATTGTTTCACTCAGTGGTAAATTTGTCGAATCACTGCTCCAACTAAAAACAGCTTCAATTTTTTTTCCATTGTTCTTTACGACTTGTACGTAGTACCCCAAGTAATATTAAGGAGGCTTCAGACCCCTTAAAAAAAAAAACTGTTAATTTAACATGCGTGATGTAAATGATAATGTATCTGTTCCCAGTGTATTACAATAGGTGAAAGGTTTATTATGGTGCGCCTGATGGAAAGTTATAAGCAATAAAAAAATTATCATTGTAAATATTCCAAATAACATCACCTTGGGCCACCTGCCATAAGGTGCTAGCCCGTGTCAGACACACATGGGCCTAATATTTAGATTAAGTTTGGTAATTATATAACTTTTCAGTGTAACTTGCAATTTACCCTAAGTGTTTTCCTTACTTGGGTTGCCTGGAAGTTATCGCTTGTTAGATATAAGGCTAAATCATGTTATTTGTTTTTTTTTAAATAAAAATAAATAATGCTGGTTTCCTTACAATTTTTTCCGGATGCTCTGAACTGGCATTGAATGGAAATTTAGACATTTTGACGTACAAATAAATGTAAAAATATATTTTCAAAATATAAATGCTTTTTTACAGAAATGTACCGAGGACACGTCCGGCTGCGCCAAAAACGATCATAATTTTATAGACAGTGGCGGAACGTGTATTCCCACTGCACACGAAACAGATTGTACTAAGTTCTATTCCTGTGAAAATGGTGTTCATGTGTTGGCCACTTGTGACCCAGGTTATAGGTTCAATACCGAAACGGGGGTAAGATATTTTGAATTATTAAAAATTATAAAAGAAACTATCGAACGGATTATGATGAAACTTTGACTGTTTTCTAAGTTGGAATATGATGATTTTGATATCAGCTGAGTTTCATCATCAATGCATACAAATTTCCACCTGTATCACCTCGACGAACTCTGTTACCTATATGAATAAATGAATTTGAATTGAATTGAATTGAACCTTCCACAACTGATTTTAAGGCAGTTTTTATGCACCACTATGTGGAACCAGCTGCCTACTGAAGTCTTGTTTATTTAAGAGCGTACCAATTCTTAAAAGGCCGGCAACGCACTTGCGAGCCCTCTGGCATTGAGAGTCCATAGTCGACAGGTGTTTCCGAAACAATTAGACTTAGGGCCCTTCAAAGAGCGTACCAATTCTTAGGCATTGAGAGTGTCCAAGAGTATCACTTATCATCAGATCCTCTTGCCCGTTTGCCGCCTGCTCCCCTGCTGCTCCCATTCACATTATCACATTCCTATCTACATTTTAAATCAAGCAGCAGTGAAATGACACAACGATTACTTAATAATTTTTAGAAATGCGACGAATCATCCAAAGTGACATGCAAACACATAAAAAAGCGCTCCATACAGACGAGATGTCCCAACGATGTGTGGATACAAATGAACATTCCACACGAGAGCGATTGCGATAAATATTACAGATGTTTCCACGGGAATCGAATCTTAATGTCCTGTTTTAATGGGGCGCATTATAACCCAAAAACTCAGGTAAGTTCATCTCTGTGTTGATTGCTCCAACGTGGTGAGAGTCGAAATCGCATGCATTTGGAAGCCCAGATAATAGAGATTTTCTATAGTATTGTCTTTATTGACATAAGTTTTACACATTTAAAGAAAACACTTTTACCGGATTGAAGTTATGTATTATACTGCTCAAAACAATTAGCGGAACAAGATTTTTCTCCTTTCTATTGCTTAAACTAAAATTAGATTTAAATTAACTTGTACGCTATTTTTTACCTTGTTAATTTGTTAATTACTACAATTAATAAAAAAAAATTAAAATGTGCATTGTAGACGAAAAACAAAGTGACGTCTTTGAATTTTCATTACTTTCTATTCACAGAAAACACATTTTAAGTAGTTTTTTTCAATCTTTTGAGTATTAATAGAAATTGAAGTGAGCCTTTTGAGTATTGTTATTCATTGAAGCGAGTGAGTTTAGGTCATAATGCCAGATCTGACTGAATTGCATGTCTCCCGTGCTATCGCTTTGCTTGAAGAGGGTCGAACTATGCGTTATGTAGGAAATTATCTAGGAGTAGCCCCTTCTGTTATCTACAGACTTTGGAAGCGATACCGTGAGACGGGAGAATACTCACGAAGGCGTGGTCAAGGTCGAAAGAGAAAAACTACACATTTGCAAGATCGCTACATCGTCAACTGTGCTTTACGTAACCGCACCACAACTGCAAGAGATCTACAAAATACACTAAGGACGGCTACTGGTGTAGAAATTTCCGACCAGACGGTAAGAAATAGGTTGTTGGAAGCCAATTTGAGATCACGCCGACCAGTTCGGGCTGTGCGTCTAACACGCCGACAGTTCGCGCAAAATCACGCTAATTGGCAACTTCGACATTGGAGGCCAGTGCTTTTTACTGACGAATCACGATTCCGTCTAACACGTTGCGATGGTCGTCTCCGTGTTTACAGACGCCCAGGCGAGCGATACAGTGCAGCAACAGTCCAGGAATATGACAAATTTGGATGTGGCTCTGTGATGGTTTGGGGCGGAGTTAGTTTGGACGAGCGCACAGATCTCGTCGTTGTTCCCGGGCGCTTGTGTGCTCAAACTTACATTGAAAATGTGCTCAAAGATCATGTTTGGCCCGCAGCATATGGTATGGGCCCAGATTTTCTTTTAATGCAAGATAATGCTAGGCCGCATACTGCAGCCATCACGTCAGATTACTTACGACAGCAGGAAATCCGTGTAATGGAGTGGCCTTCCATGAGCCCTGACCTAAATCCAATTGAACACATTTTCGACTTGCTTGACAGGCGCATCCGGAAGCGTCCGATTGCACCTCAAACACTGCAGCAGCTCACTGAAGCGTTGATTGAAGAATGGGAGCGAATTCCACAAGAAGATATTCGGAGGATCATACGAAGCATGCCGCGTCGTTGTCAAGCCGTGATTAGGGCTCATGGAGGCCACACACGTTACTGAAAGTCACTAAAGACGAATATTCAAACGATATAAGAATATTTCTTTGATGGACCTTTTTTATCACCAATTAGTTTTTCGTCTACAATGCACATTTTAATTTTTTTTTAATAAAAAAAATACAAATTGAATTTTTTTATTAATTGTAGTAATTATTACAAATTAACAAGGTAAAAAATAGCGTACAAGTTAATTTAAATCTAATTTTAGTTTAAGCAATAGAAAGGAGAAAAATCTTGTTCCGCTAATAGTTTTGAGCAGTATATATATTATAAACTTATAATTATTTTGCATAATTAAAAGAAAAACCGACATTTCGTGTGCTTTACAACGTGTGTGACCACGGTGACTGGAGACAAAGGTGTTGAATGTCAAAAAGTATCACAGCTGTAGGAAAAGTTGTATTATCTGTATTTATTTCCCCGGAGTTGATATCGACTAAAAGATGGAGGGTTTTGGCTGAAATGACTCACGGTGTCCTCTATTTTCGCGGAGATTTTCTAGATAAATAGATCAGACACGGGTCGATTTAAGTCAAATACAGGGAATTTCTAGAATCTCAGGGTGGCCTATTCTTTATAAATTCATGAGGGGGTTCGTATTACACCACAAATGTGGTGTTTTAACCCAAGCTGTGATATTTTCTAGAAAAATAGATATTTAAGTCAAATATAGAAAATTTCTAGAATTTCAGGATTGCCTAGGTCCTATGTGGGGTTTGAACCTAAGCTGTGATATTTTCTAGATAAATAGATCAGACACAGGTCGATTTATGTCAAATATAGCGACTTTCTCTAAATGTCTACGGTTCCAATGAGAAATCCAAGACGGTGTCTTTATACACAACAATGTTTAAGCCTGTGAGTCTGGTTACAGAGTTGTGACACGCCGGAGAATGCTGGTTGCGCTGACGGGGAAATTATTGAGGATTGTCCAGCGAACACCTTTATCCCAATCTTCTTACCTCATGATACTGACTGTAACAAGTATTATAGATGCTTTAGAGGTAACAAACAAGTCCAAAGGTGTGGTCACGGACAGCATTTTAATGCGAAAACCCAGGTATGTCTAGAAGTAGTATTGGGGATGTTGAAGGCAAGATACAATGTTATTAGGAGTTAAGTAATGCTCAGTGAATCGTTAATCAATATAATAAATCAGTGGCGCTACAACCTTTTTAGGTCTGATCATCAGATTGTATAAAATTAAGATTGATAAAGAGATTTTTATACCCTTAATGGAATATTATTCTAAAATTTTTAGTTAAATGTATATAATGTGAAAAAAAGTTTCAACACAATCCTTTTTACTTCCTTTTTTTGATTACTATTATTATTATTTTGTGTGTGTTTCGTTAGTTATAAATGTTATGTCAAATTTAAGAAATAAATAAAAAATACTTTTTTTTAATTGCTAAGGGGATTTACCTTGGTGCCTGAAGGGCCTACCACAGTACAAATTTAAGTAATAAAATATCCTATTAACACAAAAAAAACTAAATAAACAGAGAAACGAAAACATTTTAATGTATATGTCGCAGTAAAGTAGTTAAATCAGAGATTCAATTGAATCTCTAGACATTTAAATAAATATCGTTACTCAATATCCACTCCAATTTTTATTTTTTTAGCTCTGCGATACAATAGCAAACGCTGGCTGTCAAGAGGAATCGAACACGCCGAATGGATGCTCAAAGGATGGACTATTTCTACCACACGAACAGTGTGATAAATATTATAAATGTGTTCACGGGAATAAAATATTAATGCCTTGTCCAACTGGGATGCACTTTAGTTTCGAGTTACAGGTGAGACTTTCTGTATCATTTATTAACAGTGATTACGCTGGCATGCCGCTTTTCTCACGATGTTCTTCATACGAGCGAGTGTTGCTTAGAATGACAAGTGCCTTGCTGTCAAAGTCAAACATCATTTATTCATATAGGTAATAGGTAATAGGTAATACAATGTACACTTATGAACGTCAAAAAAAATGAAATACGTCTTCTAATGCTGTATGGTTATACATTACGCTGTTGAGAACCCCCTGAGGGTTGACACTCACGCTTAAGCCGTCTGGATCTGCTCTAGCAAGAACTACGAGTACTAGAAATCATCTTAAAACTTTCTTATACATTCACTAATAGTCTGAAATATTTTCTCAACCTGTCCTATGCTGAAGTATTCTTGTACAACCGTAGTTTAATTATAAAATTGTAAGTGCTATGTATTTATTAAGTCAATTAATATGTCTAATAGAAGAGACTAGCCCACGTCACAGGGAATCTTAGTGTATATAATAAGTATAAAATATAGTATAATAGTATAAAATAAGACATATCAAAAACAATAAAAATTAAAAATTACCTTTTGCCATTCGGTTCGCTTCTAGTGTGCAATGTGTGTGTACTGTGGTTGTAATTGGCCCTGGCTCAGCATTATGCTGAGGAGCAAAAAGTTCCACAGCGCTGGTCATTCTGCCAGAGACCACAGCAGCTAGTTTGCGCCTCTAATAAAATAAAAATAAATAATTATAATACCAAGTAGAAAAATATTAATAATAATATTAAAGTTAGAAGTGTGAGTAAATCGTGTGTAACGGTGTATAATAAATAAAATAAAATTAAAAGTTAAAAATAAGAATAATTGTAAATAAGTAGATATTTTTTGTTTTTGTTTTTTTGGGTGGATAAAAACTAACTTTCGTGGGACTTTTTTTGAGTAAGTAGATGTGTCTTTTCAGATGCATCCTTAAATTGCTTTAGAGATAAGACATTTTGTTAAACTGAGAGTAGGTAACAACAATATAATAGTATTATAGACACAGCTATCAGAATATATTATGGACCACTAGATAATTTAATTTATGCACACAGCGATGTGATTGGCCAAACATAGCGAAATGCGAGCCAACACAAACACCAACAACAACAACGACTACAACAACAACAACGACGACGACGACACCAAAACCGGAATCAACACCCAGACCGGGATACTTTCCTAACGGATGTCCTATAGACTATAGAATTGAACAGTTGTTACCTCATCCGGATTGTACGAAGTTTTATCAGTGCGTGCATGGTTTTAAACAAGAAATGCCATGTCCAGGAGGAACGCACTTCAGTTTTCATTTGCAGGTATTTATATTTTATAGTTTGCTATCGTTTTTAATGTATGATGACTGATTTAAGATTGGTAATAGATAAAACGGAGTAGAATGCTTAAGTGTACAAGATGGTAATGTCTAAATTTGGAAGCCTACGTCAAGATAAAACTTGTGAATCTTCATCTTAACATCACCTGATGTTAAGTGATACCGCCGCCCATGGACACTACATTGCCTTATGTCTCGCAAGTGCCTTGCCGACGTTTTACGAATTAAAAGACTTATTAATTATTAGACTTATTTTTTGTAAATATTTTTCTAAATTGATTAATTAATCAATAATATTTTTAAGATTTTTAACATGACCTAAGTGTGTCTAATATTGTGTAGGAATGTGTATTGTAGAAATAAGACAAATATATGTCAGAGATGTCGACGAGGAAAATGTCGAACGATCGACTAATCGCGTTGAATCTGCGACATATATGTTTATTATATTTGATTTTTTGGTATAGCACAAATTAAAGTGCCTTATAGAATTAAACCATAGTATAGGGTAAGCTAAAAGTTAATAGCAGAGCTATTGCAACTTGGTATATAAATTTACGGTAAATAAGTTTTGTTGTTAATATGTCTAATAGAAAATTTGTTTACACATGTCTATGGACTTTATTCCTTCTATTTCAGAGATGTGATTGGCCCAGTATAGCGAAGTGTGTTCCGGGTACAACAACCACAACTCAACGCCCAATAACAACAACTCGCCAACCAATAACAACTACTCGTCGACCGACGACAACAACAACAACACCAACAACTAAATCACCTATTAGTACCCCAAGGCCTGGATATTTCCCCAATGGATGTCCTATAGATTACAGAATGGAACAGCTATTACCTCATCCGGACTGTGGCAAATACTATCAATGTGTACACGGTTTTAAACAAGAAATGCCGTGCTATCATGGTTTACACTTTAGTTACGAGTTACAGGTATCTTTGCCATTACATCTTATATTTTCTGAGAGGAATTACTAATTGTCACCAATAGGTACTGCAACGTTGGCAGTTTTTAGGGTGTGTTGTGAGCCTTTAAGGATATCGTACTCTTTCATGACAGTCTCTTACGTGTTGATTCGGATATACCTCGAGTGACATATGGTACCGATAATGTGCGATAAATGTTCTGGTCAAATGTTTAACGTACATAGGTTATTACTTATTTCAAGAATAGAAATACTAAATAATAGTAGTATAGGTATAGTAAATAGGCCAGTAATTTTTTTTAAACTAGTAGATCCGGCAGACGTTGTCCTGTACACACGTCTTACATACGAAAAATATCTAAAAATGTACCTAAATCAATCTCGACTCTATTAGAACACACTAAACATTTCATCAATATCTGTCCAGCTGTATAGGAGTTTGATTACGAACACTTGCATAGAAGATTTATATATATATATACCATCTGTTCATTTGCTGTTTAGATAAATAATCTAGTTACCGAATTCAGCGCCATCTGCCAGGCTGATTTTTGATTTGTGATCTGAATCTGAACCATCTAGGGCGCTATCCAAACGCATACAAAAAATTCTTTCAAATCAAACCAGCCGCTTAAGAGGAGTTCAGTGACATACACACGTACAGTAGAATTATATACCTATATTAAGACATTTTTGGTAGTTATCACTAATGGTTTAATACATGTAACGGTTAGTGGAAATAATAATTCCTTTATAGTCGTAGATATTACCAGATGTGTATTGTTTTACGAAAAAGAAACACCTCTACCTAAGAAATATTAACATAAATGATTTATATTTTATTAAAATTTTGTTCAACGCGTAACATATAATGATATTGAAAAAGCATTATCACATTAGATACGTGTTTTAATTGAAAATATTTTAAATTGTATTAATAATTTTCAGAGATGTGAATGGCCAAATATAGCAAAATGTGTGCCTGGTGGAACAACAACTACGCGATTACCAACAACGACAACAATGAAATTACCATCAACAACATCTACGACAACCACAACCACGACAACTAAACCAGTATCAACGCCAAGGCCAGGTTATTTTCCCAATGGATGTCCCGTCGACTACAGAATCGAACAATTGTTACCTCATCCTGACTGCACTAAATACTATCAGTGCGTGCATGGATTTAAACAAGAAATGCCATGTCCAGGAGGAACACACTTTAGTTTTGAACTGCAGGTGAATTTTGCTTATTTTTCAATTTTTCTCCTTAGCATAAAGATTTAATTACTTTGTACTTCTACTGCTAACTTAAATTATACCTATACAAGAAAAAACAGTTATACTAAAAATATAGCTCAAGATGGAATATATAATATATCCCAATAGGTTTAAACATTTACGAAAGGGAAAAAGCAATAAAATTATAAAATACATGTGTGTGTTGTGTGGTGGTGTAAAAATGAGGGTATATACGTGAGGGTGTGTGGGGTGTGCTCATGATGCAGCTGATTTAGCGTTATGGATATTCTTAATACACCTTTCAGGCATATTCCGCGAAAGCTTACAAAAGTCGAGGATTAAATTTAAAACACATTTTTTAGTTTTTTTTAAATTTATTTGTTTATTGATATGACTGGTTTCTTTAAAGCATCCCTCTTAAATAATATTTTTTTAAATTTATATATTGACAACTTACAGAGATGTGATTGGCCAAATATTGCTAATTGTAAGCCTGGAGCTTCAACTTCATCGCCAACAACAACAACTACAACGCCCAGTACAACAACATCAACACCAAGGCCAACAACAACAACGCCGAGCTTAACAACAACGACAAAGCCAGAATATTTACCAAATGGTTGTCCTAAGGACTTTTCAGTCCATTTGTTGTTACCACATGAGTACGATTGCACGAAATTCTATTATTGCAATTTTGGGGAGAAGGTTGAGCGGCAATGTAATTCGAATTTATACTTCGATCCAATTTTGCAGGTAACCACTTTTTTGACACATAATGTAATAACAACACACATAATCTATATCATATTTAACACATAATCTATGCTTATTTCACTATATAAAGTGCAAATTCGGCCCCACATAGAGTACTACTGGTACCTCTAGGAAGGGATGTCCCCAGTACCTTCTTCTTCCACATATAACAAAGAGCGGTTCAAATAGTCAACGACCAATCCGAACGGCTAGATCCCTTGGCGTTGCGAAGAGATGTAAGGTCACTTTGCATCTTCTACAGCATTTTCCAGGAAGAGTGTTTAGTGGAGATGGTCGGATTAATAACTGCGAAGTATTTCCAAACCAATTCGACTTCGGGTTGTTCAAAAAAAGAGAGTACCAATTATGAAAAGGTCGGCAACGCACTTGCGATAGCATTGAGTGTCCATGCGCGGTGGTATCACTTTAAATCAGGCGAGCCTCCTGCCCTTTCCCTCCTGTTCTATAAAAAAAAACGACGGGTTGCACTTCGGGAGTGCCGGCAAAAGTGAAAATTTGACTTGTGCATTTCTGATATTTTGGAATGGTTAGAGAATAATTTTACACGAATTACTTTAATTATCAGTATAAAAGTACAATCATTTATGTGGTAGAATACAATATTTATTTATTGCGCTATCGTACACAAACATGACAATTTATATTACATAAAAAAGACGCCGCGCCAGCTGTCTACTCTCCATCCGTCTTACTAGGATAACTACACAAAATAATTAAAATTAGTATTAAATAATTCAATTAGGAAAATTCACTATTTTTTTAAGTTGCTATTTTTTATTCGCGTCAGTCTGACCAAATCGTAAATAATAAAGCTTTAGACGTTTCGCAAAATTAAACCTTGATGTATTTATTGACTTAAGGTCCAATTCCATATGCATCAATGTATCTGAGGAAAGACACAAATGAATTAAAACCCTAACTATATAGCACGAAGGTTCATAATTCTTTATAAAAACATCCGTCTTACGAATATTTTGTTCTGACGTGAGTTTAAATATTTTTCCCCATTCCAAAACGTGTACAACGCCACTAAAGAAGTGCTCGTAAAAAAGGCCCTAGAAGATATATTACTAGAATTTAAAAAGCTAGATTTTTTCAATTAAGGAGAATCCGTAATTGGACAGTGTAAATCTAAATAAAACTGAATAAAAAATATCATATAGCGTGATTTTGCCAAACATTATCTTAATTAAGTAATGATTATGCTAAAATAAAACTGTAGTTACTTCGAAGAACAATTCAAAGAAGTAATTTTTATTTAAAATAATATAATACGATACTAAAAACCGTACTGACCAATTTAATGTATAGAAAACCTATTCAAGGTATGTAACTGGCCGTCAGCAGTTGATTGTAAGCCAAGCACGCCTCCACCAAGTACAACTATAAAAGACCCCAAAACAACAACCTCTGAGGTAACCACTCCAGTTGCTACTACTCCTGATATCACAGTAAGTCCAGAAGTCTCTACACCGGACTCAACTACGCCTGAAGCAACATCAACAGAGGCTACCACGGCTGAAGACACAACCTTAGAGCAAACTACACCTGAAGCTACAACCCCAGAAGCTACCACGGCTGAAGACACAACATTAGAGCCAACTACACCTGCAGCAACAACACCAGAGGATACCACGGCTGAAGACACAACATTAGAGCCAACTACACCTGAAGCTACAACCCCAGAAGCTACCACTGCTGAAGACACAACATTAGAGCCAACTACACCTGCAGCAACAACACCAGAGGCTACCACGGCTGAAGACACAACATTAGAGCCAACTACACCTGAAGCTACAACCCCAGAAGCTACCACTGCTGAAGACACAACATTAGAGCCAACTACACCTGCAGCAACAACACCAGAGGCTACCACGGCTGAAGACACAACATTCGAGCCAACTACACCTGAAGCTACAACCCCAGAAGCTACCACGGCTGAAGACATAACATTGGAGCCAACTAAGCCTGCAGCAACAACCCCAGAAGCTACCACAGCTGATGATCCAACACCAGAAGCAACTACGCCTGCAGCAACAACACCAGAGGCTACCACGGCTGAAGACACAACACTAGAGCCAACTACGCCTGCAGCAACAACACCAGAGGCTACCACGGCTGAAGACACAACATTGGAGCCAACTACACCTGCAGCAACAACACCAGAGGCTACTACGGTTGAAGACACAACATTAGAGCCAACTACACCTAAAGCTACAACCCCAGAAACTACCACTGCTGAAGACACAACATTAAGGCCAACAACGATTGCAGCAACAACACCAGAGGCTACCACGGCTGAAGACACAACAGTGGAGCCAACTACGCCTGCAGCAACAACACCAGAGGCTACTACGGCTGAAGACACAACACCAGATGCAACTACGCCTGCAGCAACAACACCAGAGGCTACCACGGCTGAAGACACAACATTAGAGCCAACTTCGCCTGAAGCAACAACACCAGAGGCTACTACGGTTGAAGACACAACATTAGAGCCAACTACACCTAAAGCTACAACCCCAGAAACTACCACTGCTGAAGTCACAACATTAGAGCCAACTACACCTGAAGCTACAACCCCAGAAGCTACCACTGCTGAAGACACAACATTAGAGCCAACTACACCTGCAGCAACAACACCAGAGGCTACCACGGCTGAAGACACAACACTAGAGCCAACTACGCCTGCAGCAACAACACCAGAGGCTACCACGGCTGAAGACACAACATTCGAGCCAACTACACCTGAAGCTACAACCCCAGAAGCTACCACGGCTGAAGACATAACATTGGAGCCAACTACGCCTGCAGCAACAACCCCAGAAGCTACCACAGCTGATGATCCAACACCAGAAGCAACTACGCCTGCAGCAACAACACCAGAGGCTACCACGGCTAAAGACACAACATTAGAGCCAACTACGCCTAAAGCAACAACACCAGAGGCTACCACGGCTGAAGACACAACATTAGAGCCAACTACACCTAAAGCTACAACCCCAGAAACTACCACTGCTGAAGTCACAACATTAGAGCCAACTACGCCTGAAGCTACAACCCCAGAAGCTACCACGGCTGAAGACATAACATTGGAGCCAACTACGCCTGCAGCAACAACCCCAGAAGCTACCACAGCTGATGATCCAACACCAGAAGCAACTACGCCTGCAGCAACAACACCAGAGGCTACCACGGCTGAAGACACAACATTCGAGCCAACTACACCTGAAGCTACAACCCCAGAAGCTACCACGGCTGAAGACACAACATTAGAGCCAACTACACCTAAAGCTACAACCCCAGAAACTACCACTGCTGAAGTCACAACATTAGAGCCAACTACGCCTGCAGCAACAACACCAGAGGCTACCACGGCTGAAGACACAACAGTGGAGCCAACTACGCCTGCAGCAACAACACCAGAGGCTACCACGGCTAAAGACACAACATTAGAGCCAACTACGCCTAAAGCAACAACACCAGAGGCTACCACGGCTGAAGACACAACACTAGAGCCAACTACGCCTGCAGCAACAACACCAGAGGCTACCACGGCTGAAGACACAACATTCGAGCCAACTACACCTGAAGCTACAACCCCAGAAGCTACCACGGCTGAAGACATAACATTGGAGCCAACTACGCCTGCAGCAACAACCCCAGAAGCTACCACAGCTGATGATCCAACACCAGAAGCAACTACGCCTGCAGCAACAACACCAGAGGCTACCACGGCTGAAGACACAACACTAGAGCCAACTACGCCTGCAGCAACAACACCAGAGGCTACCACGGCTGAAGACACAACATTAGAGCCAACTACACCTAAAGCTACAACCCCAGAAACTACCACTGCTGAAGTCACAACATTAGAGCCAACTACGCCTGCAGCAACAACACCAGAGGCTACCACGGCTGAAGACACAACAGTGGAGCCAACTACGCCTGCAGCAACAACCCCAGATGCTACAACAGCTGATGATCCAACACCAGAAGCAACTACGCCTGCAGCAACAACATCAGAGGCTACCACGGCTGAAGACACAACAGTGGAGCCAACTACGCCTGCAGCAACAACCCCAGATGCTACCACAGCTGATGATCCAACACCAGAAGCAACTACGCCTGCAGCAACAACATCAGAGGCTACCACGCCTGCAGCAACAACACCAGAGGCTACCACGGCTGATGATCCAACACCAGAAGCAACTACGCCTGCAGCAACAACACCAGAGGCTACCACGGCTGAAGACACAACACTAGAGCCAACTACGCCTGCAGCAACAACACCAGAGGCTACCACGGCTGAAGACACAACATTCGAGCCAACTACACCTGAAGCTACAACCCCAGAAGCTACCACAGCTGATGATCCAACACCAGAAGCAACTACGCCTGCAGCAACAACACCAGAGGCTACCACGGCTGAAGACACAACACTAGAGCCAACTACGCCTGCAGCAACAACACCAGAGGCTACCACGGCTGAAGACACAACATTAGAGCCAACTACGCCTGCAGCAACAACCCCAGAAGCTACCACAGCTGATGATCCAACACCAGAAGCAACTACGCCTGCAGCAACAACACCAGAGGCTACCACGGCTGAAGACACAACACTAGAGCCAACTACGCCTGCAGCAACAACACCAGAGGCTACCACGGCTGAAGACACAACATTCGAGCCAACTACACCTGAAGCTACAACCCCAGAAGCTACCACAGCTGATGATCCAACACCAGAAGCAACTACGCCTGCAGCAACAACACCAGAGGCTACCACGGCTGAAGACACAACACTAATGCCAACTACGCCTGCAGCAACAACACCAGAGGCTACCACGGCTGAAGACACAACATTAGAGCCAACTACGCCTGCAGCAACAACCACAGAAGCTACCACGGCTGAAGACACAACATTAGAGCCAACTACGCCTGCAGCAACAACCACAGAAGCTACCACAGCTGATGATCCAACAGCAGAAGCAACTACGCCTGCAGCAACAACACCAGAGGCTACCACGGCTGAAGACACAACATTCGAGCCAACTACACCTGAAGCTACAACCCCAGAAGCTACCACGGCTGAAGACACAACATTAGAGCCAATTACACCTGAAACTACAACCCCAGAAGCTACCACAGCTGATGATCCAACACCAGAAGCAACTACGCCTGCAGCAACAACACCAGAGGCTACCACGGCTAAAGACACAACATTAGAGCCAACTACGCCTAAAGCAACAACACCAGAGGCTACCACGGCTGAAGACACAACACTAGAGCCAACTACGCCTGCAGCAACAACACCAGAGGCTACCACGGCTGAAGACACAACATTCGAGCCAACTACACCTGAAGCTACAACCCCAGAAGCTACCACGGCTGAAGACATAACATTGGAGCCAACTACGCCTGCAGCAACAACCCCAGAAGCTACCACAGCTGATGATCCAACACCAGAAGCAACTACGCCTGCAGCAACAACACCAGAGGCTACCACGGCTAAAGACACAACATTAGAGCCAACTACGCCTGAAGCAACAACACCAGAGGCTACCACGGCTGAAGACACAACACTAGAGCCAACTACGCCTGCAGCAACAACACCAGAGGCTACCACGGCTGAAGACACAACATTCGAGCCAACTACACCTGAAGCTACAACCCCAGAAGCTACCACGGCTGAAGACATAACATTGGAGCCAACTACGCCTGCAGCAACAACCCCAGAAGCTACCACAGCTGATGATCCAACACCAGAAGCAACTACGCCTGCAGCAACAACACCAGAGGCTACCACGGCTGAAGACACAACATTCGAGCCAACTACACCTGAAGCTACAACCCCAGAAGCTACCACGGCTGATGATCCAACACCAGAAGCAACTACGCCTGCAGCAACAACACCAGAGGCTACCACGGCTGAAGACACAACATTAGAGCCAACTACGCCTGAAGCAACAACACCTCTGGCTACCACGGCTGAAGACACAACATTAGAGCCAACTACGCCTGCAGCAACAACACCAGAGGCTACCACGGCTGAAGACACAATATTAGAGCCAACTACGCCTGCAGCAACAACACCAGAGGCTACCACGGCGGAAGACACAACATTAGAGCCAACTACGCCTGAAGCAACAACACCAGAGGCTACCACGGCTGAAGACACAACATTAGAGCCAATTACACCTGAAACTACAACCCCAGAAGCTACCACAGCTGATGATCCAACACCAGAAGCAACTACGCCTGCAGCAACAACACCAGAGGCTACCACGGCTGAAGACACAACACTAGAGCCAACTACACCTGAAGCTACAACCCCAGAAGCTACCACGGCTGAAGACACAACATTAGAGCCAACTACGCCTGAAGCAACAACACCATTGGCTACCACGGCTGAAGACACAACATTAGAGCCAACTAAGCCTGCAGCAACAACCCCAGAAGCTACCACAGCTGATGATCCAACACCAGAAGCAACTACGCCTGCAGCAACAACACCAGAGGCTACCACGGCTGAAGACACAACACTAGAGCCAACTACGCCTGCAGCAACAACACCAGAGGCTACCACGGCTGAAGACACAACATTCGAGCCAACTACACCTGAAGCTACAACCCCAGAAGCTACCACGGCTGAAGACATAACATTGGAGCCAACTACGCCTGCAGCAACAACCCCAGAAGCTACCACAGCTGATGATCCAACACCAGAAGCAACTACGCCTGCAGCAACAACACCAGAGGCTACCACGGCTGAAGACACAACATTAGAGCCAATGACACCTGAAACTACAACATCAGAAGCTACCACAGCTGATGATCCAACACCAGAAGCAACTACGCCTGCAGCAACAACACCAGAGGCTACCACGGCTGAAGACACAACATTAGAGCCAACTACGCCTGCAGCAACAACACCAGAGGCTACCACGGCGGAAGACACAACATTAGAGCCAACTACGCCTGAAGCAACAACACCAGAGGCTACCACGGCTGAAGACACAACATTAGAGCCAATTATACCTGAAACTACAACCCCAGAAGCTACCACAGCTGATGATCCAACACCAGAAGCAACTACGCCTGCTGCAACAACACCAGAGGCTACCACGGCTGAAGACACAACACTAGAGCCAACTACGCCTGCAGCAACAACACCAGCGGCTACCACGGCTGAAGACACAACATTGGAGCCAACCACGCCTGCAGCAACAACACCAGAGGCTACCACGGCTGAAGACACAACATTCGAGCCAACTACGCCTGCAGCAACAACACCAGAGGCTACCACGGCTGAAGACACAACACTAGAGCCAACTACGCCTGCAGCAACAACACCAGAGGCTACCACGGCTGAAGACATAACATTGGAGCCAACTACATCTGACGCAACAACACCAGAAGCAACTACACCTGAAGCTAGAACGACACCAAGTTCCCCATCACCTGCACCAATTTGTCCTCCAGGCGTTTTCGGCAATGTACCTCATCCCGTTTTGTGTGACTACTATTACAATTGCATTGGAGGAATGGAGGTCTTATTGAGATGTTTAGAAGGCTTTGAGTACGATCACAGTATTCGGGTAAGGAAAAAATTTGAAATGAAATTTTAACCTGTATTCCCTGCGAAACAATGTTCTGGTTAGTTTCGTTAGCTTTTGATGTTCTATCACAAGGTTCTTACTTCTTACTAAAGTACAATACTCTTCCCTCTTCTCACATATTGTTGCCCAAAAAAAATAGATGTAATATCTATTTTTAATAAATCTTACATATGAATATACATTATTTTAAAAACAATACCTAATTTTCTTAAGACTAAGAATTGTTTGCAAAGTAATAAATTTATTTAATACTACGGTCCAATCAATTCCTTTAATTATTTATAATCGATTTAGATACTATATTAATTTCAGAGCTGCACACGTATTTCCGAAAATGGATGTTTTGCAAGAAAAAATACCACAACAACAACAGACAACCAGGTTACAGACACAACAACGGAAGATATTGAATCAACAACATACAGAGACAACATTTGTCCACCAGGTTATTCAGGCACTTTGCCACACTCAACACTTTGCAGTGCATATTATCGTTGTGAAGAGGGCGAAGCGATACTGAAGAACTGCGCGAAAGGATTCGAGTACGATGCCGAAATTATGGTAAATTTATTTTATTTCCACATAATTGTTCTTAATTAACAGTTAGATACTACTAATGCGATACAGCTACACAATTATACCTACACCTATAATAGGTACTATAATTAAAAAAATTAACTAATAATATAGCAAGCAACTCTTGTGAACTCAGCCAGTGTACAAACAAGTAGGTCTACCTCGATAAAATTCTATTTAATATATGTATTGCTCGCGTGAGTGGCTCTTCCAAAAGTTGAGACTTCCGCCTTAGGTTCTTGCCTGATACGCGTAGACCTATACCTCTATTATATCCAGATTATGAACCCGACCCGTATGTATCCTAAATAAGTACACTCACAAAGCAAGCACTCTTCTAAGGCGTAGCTAGTCATAACTCCCAATCCCCGGAACAGACAGGGTCAGACAGCGCATACACTCCATACAGTCTTTTGGTTTCAAGTGGCGTTTGAACTTTCAATTTCCGATTCAAAGAAATCTGTTCTTCTCTGTTCTTAAGAGTTAAAGAGAAAGACAATTTAACGTGAGACTTCGAAAACTTGCTCTACGAGAGTATTATTTATTTATTAGTAATCTTACAGCTATTAGAACTAATGTCAAAGACCACATAGCCAACAGTCTTTCAGTGTCCTTTTCAAATGTTTGACAGTTTGATAGGGTCCTTACAACTCCAACGGAAGCATGACATTACTAATTTTATTAAATTGTGCTTCTATCTGACATCAAACCCACTAATATGGGCGGTACAGCCTCTTACGAAACCGATTTGTAGTTCAGCTTTTCGTTCAGTTCTTTATTCATTTTATAATTTAACAGGACTGTGTTCCAATATCAGAGAGCGGTTGTTACGCACAGCAAGGTCTAACAACAACAACAGATAATAACAGATTACCTGAGTTATCAACTTACAAGAACGATGAAGAGGATTACATTTGTCCACCAATGTTTTCTGGGAATATCGAACATCCAACTTTGTGTGATTCGTATTACACTTGCTTTTCTGGAATGGAGTTTTTGATGAATTGCTCACATGGGTTCGAGTTTGACCCAGTTGTAAAGGTTTGATTATTATTTTTAGTTGCTCTTTTTACGTGATAAACATAGTTTAAGTCGTTAATTAAGTATGTTAGAAATGCCATATGAAAAATGAGTAATCTTAACATATATAAATTACGCGTCACCTTGTTTGTCCGCTATGGACTCCTAAACTACTGAACCGATTTCAATCAAATTTGCACTCCGTGTGCAGTTTAATCTAACTTAAAAGATAGGATAGCTTACATCTTAATGTATACCCGCAATATTATTTTATTGCAAAATATTTGTTTATTATTTGATAGTTACAATTTTACCAGATGGCGCTGTGATGAAAGTACCAACGTTTCACATAAGCTACAATTTAATGGCATTACCATCACAAAAGCATGGTGGTCTCCATGACTGGTGCTCTCCTACCGTTTCCCTTGAATAGTTTACTACTATGATTACATAGTAGTATATTAATAACAAAAAGCTTACTCACAGCAACGCTTGGCCGGTCTGCTAGTGGAATATTTATTCGTTACAAAGACGGATGGCATAATCTAAAAATGATATTAACATAATGTGTAGCTGTCTCCAACTAGACTTTTTATTTATTTAATGAGTATTTTTAATAATATTTGATATATAGACAATATTCAACCTATTAGAGTTGACTGTCATATGTAAATATAGACAATTTCAGAATTGCGTCCGCATATCTAGCACGGGTTGTTTCGCAACACGATACAACTTAACAACAACGACGACACCAACTCCAACAACAACCGAAAACAACAAAGACAAACCAATTTGTCCACCGAACTACTCAGGAAATGTTCCCCACGAAACGAAATGCGATTCTTACTATACTTGCTTTAGTGGTTCAAAGTTTTTGATGCAGTGTCCCAACGGTTTTGAATTTGATCCGACTACAAAAGTAAGTACCTACACAATTACATATAAACATACACAAATTAAAACATCGTGAAATGATGATATCTTACAGGTGCGTGTGAGGCGAGCACCAAATAATAAAAGAAAAGATTCTCGTCTCAATTCTTTAAAGGCCGGCAACGCATTTGTGAGCCTTCTGGCACTGAGAGTGCTCGTGAGCTGCGGTATCACATAACATCAGAAGAGTCTCCTGTCCGTTTGCCTTCTGTAAACTAAAGACTTATAAAAGATTCTGGGCTAGGCTTACTGCCTTCTTACTGAAGGAAAAACACACTTCTTAAAGTCTTAAACACTTATATTGAAATTAATGAATCGTAGTCATGCGCACAGCTTCTGCGTTTGATAGATAAATGTATACTGTTAGCTGCTTGCGTTGCGACTGGCTGCGGGCTCCCCCCACCGCGCCCGTGTCATCACAGATACTCATAAGATCACCGACGCGGTGGAAAAGAGGAGTAGCAATATTTTTCGCCACAACCTGACATAAATAACACAATTTGTGGCAATGCTTTTTATTTAATATTGACATTCTCTCACTCCTATTTAGTTATACAGTTTAAACCCTTATCCAAATTGTTTATAGGACTGTGTGCGAATATCGGAGACCGGTTGTTTCGCACAACAAGGCTTAGCTACAACAACAGACAACAATAGATTACCCGAGTTATCAACTTACAAGAACGATGAAGAGGACTATATTTGCCCACCAATGTTTTCTGGAAATATTAAACATCCAACTTTGTGTGATTCGTATTACACTTGCTTTGCTGGAATGGAGTTTTTGATGAATTGCACTCATGGGTTCGAGTTTGACCCAGTTGTTAAGGTATGATTAGTATTTTTTAGTTGTACTACGTTATTTATTTTATTTATTATTAATCTTACATATTATAAAACAAAACACTAATATTAATATACTTAATTGCAATAATAATTTATATACTAAAATAAAAAATATATAAAAGAAAACTGAAATTAAACAAACGACAATTAACAATTAATATTTCAATAAAAAAACTAATTTGTTACTGCTAAACAAAGTCAAAGCCCTCCCGCCTCTTCAAATATTTCCTCCACACATCCCCTTTGGGCATGGGGCTATTAGCGAGATTCCATATGGATCCTAGATCTCGATATTACGACGATGGCGCCGCAATTGTTTCACTGCGCTTATGCGTTCTAGAGTATCTAAATGGACTGTTGCACGCCGACTCCTCGTGTGTTATTATGTCGCGGGTTACACCACGACGCCTCTCCTGACTTGTTTTTTGATTCTTTGTATCATTGCAACACCTTTCTGCGCGAATACTAGTATGTGAAAAGAAAGGGATGGTAAATTTAAGGCCATGTGTTAAACCAAATATATTATGTAGTATACACTTTACGTGGCGCAACCGATTGTAGTATGCCAAAAACATATTACATACATTCATTCTTATTTCATTAAATAGTACAAACCCTGATTTAATTGTTCGTAGGATTGTGTTCGAATATCGGAGACCGGTTGTTTTGCACAACAAGGCTTAGCAACAACAACCGACAACAATAGACTACCAGAGTTATCAACTTACAAGAACGACGAAGAGAAGTATATTTGTCCACCAATGTTTTCTGGGAACATCGAACATCCAACTTTGTGTGATTCGTATTATACTTGCTTCGCTGGAATGGAGTTTTTAATGAATTGTTCTCATGGATTCGAATTTGATCCAGCTGTTAAGGTACGATTACTATTTTTAAGCTATTAGACTTCTTTTTACGCGATGATAATAGTTTAAGTCATCATTTGAGGATCTCTTTATCATATGTTTAAAAGGCGCACGAATATTGTGGGTTATGTTAGATATCCTTATATAAGCCTGTTAGAAATGCCATATAAAAAATGAGTATTAAAATGTGTATTCGTTACAAACCTAATTACCAAATTGGAAATTGTGTTTACATACAAGCAGACTATTATGTATTTTAAATTTATATAAAATAAATGATTGTTTTAATAAATGCATTTCTTTAATACAATTTGATTTATATACAATATTTGAAAAATAAATAACAATCCTAAATACAATTACAGAACTGCGTCCGAATCTCGAACACTGGTTGTTTCGCAACACGATACAATTTGACAACAACGACAACGACAACGACACCAACTACAACAACAACCGAAAACAACAAAGTCAAATCAATATGTCCACCGAACTTCTCAGGAAATGTACCCCACAAAACGAAGTGCGATTCTTTCTATACTTGCTTCAGTGGTTCGGAGTTTTTGATGCAGTGTCCCAACGGATTTGAGTTTGATCCGAATACAAAAGTAAGTAACTACTAAATTACCTTCGACATAAATTAGCTGGATTTCTAATTATATGACACGGAATTCTATATTATATACATACAACACAAAGTCTTATTGCCTTTTCTTCAATAGGTCAGCTATATAGCTATATTCTATCGACTTTTAGAACAAATTCTATTGTTTATAGGACTGTGTTCGAATATCGGACACCGGTTGTTTCGCACAACAAAGCTTAGCAACAACAACAGACAACAATAGATTACCCGAGTTATCAACTTACAAGAACGATGAAGAGGATTACAATTGTCCACCAATGTTTTCTGGGAATATAGAACATCCAACTTTGTGTGATTCGTATTACACTTGCTTTGCTGGAATGGAGTTTTTGATGAATTGTTCTCATGGATTCGAATTCGATCCGGTTGTTGAGGTAGTCCAATTTTTAAAGAAAAATATTAATTACTATCATTCGTTGTTTGTTGTTTAATGTTTAGTTTATTTGCTTAGATATACAATGCTTTGCGCATTCAACATTCGCTCGTACGAAGGAAAAATCGCGAGGAATTCGGCTTGCCTTAGACCCAACACGACGGCGCGTGTCAAAAATTCAAAATCATTTATTCATATATATATTTATACAATGTACACGTCAAAAAAAAATTATATATGTCAGTTCACCTATTTGCCTAATATAGGTACCTGAAAGAGATATAGATATCTGAGTCCCACGCCTAAAAAGGTAGCGGTGTTCAGATATATGTTAAATTAATCTGTTTGAAGCTGAGTAACAATTGACTTTAATCCTTTAAAATATGAGCTTATAACTAACATAAATTTAGGGATCGGGTTGCGACACCAACAAAATTCTAACTATTTAACTTATTGAAGATTTTTAAATGTAAGTGACACTTATGTTATTGAATATTATCGGAAACGAGAATTTTAAATTACAATTTGTGTGTGGGATAAACTAAAGGGCTTATTTTGGCTTCAATAATGCGATTATTCCTAACATTTTATTTATGCTTTTAATTATTAAATAATTACTTATATAGTTATAGAACCTTGTTTTCCGAAATAAACAATTTTTATTTATTTTATTTTATATAATATGTAACTTAACTTAGGTTAAATAACTCGCGGTAAACTATTGTAATTAATGAATTCGTTCAACGGCCTGTTATAATCGATTTAAAAACCAATTATTACAGAGCATGTGCTTGTTGGCTATTTAAAGCAAGCGTACAGCGAAATGGACAAGTTTATCAATTAATTACTATATAAGCATGTATTTTTAGAATTGCGTCCGAGTTTCGAACACTGGTTGTTTTGCAACACGATACAACTTAACAACAACATCGACATCAACTACAACCGAAAACAACAAAATCAGACCAATATGTCCACCGGCTTTCTCAGGAAATCTTCCCCACAGAACGAAATGCGATTATTACTATACTTGCTTTAGTGGTTCGGAGTTTTTGATGCAATGCCCCAACGGATTTGAATTTGATCCCACAACCAACGTAAGTACCATTGACAATTCTTAAACGATATTTTTTTAAATTACTTTTTTGCTATATTAAATAAAAAAATATATGTTTATTATAGAATATAAGATACAGGTATCACTTATTCCACGTCATTAAATTTCAATCGGTAGACATCCCTACTCATCGGCAAAGAAGACAGAGAGCGTAGGGCGAGAGAAAAAGCCGGCGTAAAAAACACTCGGTACTCTCTCTAAAAATAGCAAATCATAATACAAAATAATCATTATTTAACTTAAATGTTGATTAGATAATAATCTTTAAATTAATATTTTTTTCTAGGAATGTGTAAGGATATCGTCGAGTGGATGTTTCGCGCGGCAAAATGGTGAGGTTTAAATTGAAGTAAATTAATAAATAAAGGTTATCATTATATCACAAAGTCCCTACTTACTTTATTACCGACTTACCTACTTATGTCACCACAGTGAATGTAGCGTGATACAAAGGAAATAAAATGTTCTTCCAACTAAATGAAAGGTCGACCAATCTAACCACTGACTGGTCCGAAGACTCCAATCGCTGTTGGCTTGAATAGCCTTTACCAACAAGGACTGATTTGGCAAGCATAGCTAGAGCAACATGGACATAATCAGGTAGACCTGCTTATGGGATACACCTGGTGTCTCCTGTGTGGGGGTGTCCAATGAGAGAATTTCAATGGCTTTTGCTTGTGTTTATGCGCTCCCCTTCTGGGGCGGACATCGACAGAGTTCCTGCTGGCGGTGTGATAGCTCCTGTTTCTGGGGCGGGGATATAGTCCTTGTTGTGCAGACGAGGCGTAGGGTTCGACTCGTCTCAATGGAGGAGTCTAATGGCTGATGACGAGATATACTCAGCGGGAAATACTTCGATAGCGCGTTTTAACTTATAACGTCATATGATAGCGACATTTTTAATTCCTTCTGCAGTAGAATGATGATAAGAAACCTTTAATGGAGTTCTTGAGATTATCATTTAAATAAATATTGAACGTTAGATTTATTGATTTCTAGATCCAGAAAACATCTGCATGCCAGGTGAATCAGGACACGTGCCACACCCCGAACTGTGTGATACGTTCTACCTTTGTGCCATGGGTGAACCCTTGAGACTACACTGCAGCAGAGGATTCGAATTCTCTGAAGCAAATGGGGTATGTTCCCAAACATGCATTTTCCTTACTGTTAGCTTGGTTCCCCTAAGGGTAATTTAATTAAGAAGAATTGCTAGCATATTAACTTCTAGTTGGTATGACTCTCTTCTCACGACGTTCCTTGTTCGGTGTTTGAAACCCTCATAAGGAAACCCGTATGTACCCGTTAATAATCAGGATTACATTAAGTACATGTCATTAATGGAGTGAACGCCTCCTCCAAATTCTTCCATGTGTCGCTCATCTCCACTACTATTTTCCAATTCTATCCCCGCTATCCCCTGTCATCTAATCACCTGCTTATTGAAAATGATCACAGATGAAGGTCTAGATTCTAGGGTTGTAGCGCTGGTCCTTGGTCTTCGGTCATCTTCGACGACATCACAGATTTGCAGTGAATACCTCGACATCATATTTCTGAACCAATTCAGCTTAGGGTCCTTCAAAAAAGAGCGTGCCAATTCTTAAAAGGCCGGCAACGCACTTGCGAGCCTTATTGCAACATAAGTGTCCATGGGCAACGGTATCACTTAACATCAGATGCCATCTCCCGTTTGCCCCGTATTATATGTAAAAAAAGGCCAGTGACGCACTTGGGAGCCTTCTGGCAATGTGTATGTCCATGGGCATGGGCATGTGACGGATGGAATTTGGGTATAAGGATGTTCTTAGGATGCTTTTTTAATTATTAATCAAAGAAATTTGTTTACAGCAATGCGTGGCGATATCTGATGATGGATGCTTTGCGAAAGGTATTTTACACTAACAATAAATGTCGTGTTAGCTGAACTTATTATGAAATAAATAAATACAAAACAAATACTAAGTTTAATAAGAAATCAACACAAATATAAGACAACTTTTTTAGGTCTGTGCCTAAGATTTCTGTATCCGTTTCACGATTGTCAACCTAATAGGTGATCAACATCCTGTGCCTGATACACGCCGTCGTGATGCGTTGGCAAGCCGGTTTCCTCACGATGTTTTCCTTCACAGTACGAGGGAGTGTTAAAGGCGTGATGCAAGGGTTCGTCAGGGACCCCTTGCTTAATTTCATGTGTCCAGGAATTGTGCCTGTTTGATTGAAAAATGATCATGAAACAGATACAGAAATCTGAGGCCACCTATAATGGTTGTAGTGACAATGATTTTTTTTTATTTTTGTCCAACACACAAGTAAATAGTATTTATAATATTCTTAACTTACATAATAATAATTAAAAATTTGATAATAGAAAATTAAAACAAATTAAAAAAGTTTTCCTGTGGCACAGTTAATGCTGGAATTTCCTTGCTGTATTGCGATACTTATTCGTTGAAAGTACCAGCTCTGGGGTCATCTACCAGGCGCCAACCTAAATCTCCAATTTGCTGTGCACCTGAACCCCACGGCCCAAGAGTCTCTACTCCAAAGGGAACAAAATATTGGTTTGACGTACAGGATCTAGACTTAACTGTCCTTTAATTCCAGTGAAACAATCAAAGAAGATGCCAATTTGCTCACCAGCTCAAGTTGGTAACATACCACATCATACAAGATGCGATGCGTACTACAGCTGTATGGCTGGTGAAGCCACAGAGGTATTATGTGAAGAAGGATTTGAATTCGACCCAGAAACTAAGGTGAAGTATTTTAATTTTACTCTTCTTCATGGCGCTCTTCATTTTTAAAGGTCATGGTAGTGTTGTTGTGTTCCTCCACTCCCCCTGTCACCAAGCCTCAGCGCGTGGGTCAGGGCTGGATTTATGGGAGGCCCCAGGGCCTCCATAAAAGACGGGCCCCCATAATAGTAATCCCTCGGATTTTTTAAAATTCCGGCTAGCAAACCCTAGTAAAAAAAACTATATTTTTACAGTAACTTAATACTAATATAATAGAAAACTAAACTAAAAACTTAAAACCTAAACCTTTTTATAACTAATAATAATAATTAATGCAATTCTTGTGAATTCAGCCAGTGTGCCACTAAATAAATCCGTCTCACAAGAAATAATATTAATGGTGCGCAAGACACTCGTAATGGTGCTCCTATGAGGAAATTTGTACGCGCCCGAGGCACTGCCAGCAATTACCGCTTACCACGCTGAGTGTGGTTATTAGGCACACGCAGCCCCAGTTTCTCCAACATTTCCGCATTATATATTTAATCTCTAAGGACCTTAAAAAAACAATGTTTTTTTTAAATACTGAAAGAATCTACTTGGTTTTACAATAAATTTATGATTAAGAAACTTGACTAAAAAAATTTATCATTTTATTTGGAAAATAATTGGGGGCCTTCACTCCTTTGTTGCCTCGAGGCCTACAGACTTCTAAACTCGCGAACCCTCGGGCATTCAGAGTGTCAATGGGCGGTAGAATCACTAAGCATCAGATGAACCTCCTGCCCGTTTTCCTCATTTTACATAAAAAAGAAGAAACCTGGGGCTCATACCTAAATAGCGTTCTCATATATTTCTTCAAATAACTCAACAGAATGGGACGGATGGTGCGATTTATGTTTCTTTTCACGTGACAACGTCTAATAAAGCCGTCGATGAACACCGGCTGCGCGAAAAAGCATGACTCATTGTCTCGTTACGCTTATTGTCCCGTTGCGCTCATAGTACGCTTGCGCCGCATCTATCTCTCTTCCACTCGATTAGCATATGCGTCCGAGGATTCACTCCTTTGTATCCAAACAAAATAGTGATAATTCAATAAAAACGTTGTTACGTTAAACTATCGTCCGTAAACCGACTTTACAGATAACCATTTCTTTGTTACAGCAATGCGCGCTCATTTCGGAGAATGGCTGCACGGCTCGCAAGTAGACATGGCAGGCAAGAGTCTCTCGTGATCTTCTAATAACGATTACGGTGTACTCTGAATTATCTAAAGTGATATTTTATCGACTTATTGTGAATGCAGTGCCGAAATAAAATTGTATAATTAAAAGTCTTTTATTATTATTTATTTTAATTTCCTACACACAATTACAGTATTTACTAACTTTCTTAACCTACATAAAAATAATTAAAAATTAATAAAAGGAAAGTTAAAACAAATTTAAAAATGGTAGTGACAGTCTTATAATGCCTGGCATTTCCTCGATGTTTTGCGATACCTATTCGTTGAAAGCACCAGCTCTGGGTTCACCTAACGAGCGTCCCATCTTTAATGAGCCCTTGAACAAAAGACAACTCAAAATGGAACAATATCGCAGTTGGAGACTCTTAAATTCCCGCCTGGTGCACCGCGCCAGCTTTTGTGCTTGTCCGAGGGAGGTGAGACGGGGCCAACGTATCCACACAAGTGGCATCCCATACCAAAGCCCGTCCCGTCTACCGCTGGATCATCTTTTATTATTTGTGTTTTTTAATCCTTTATAAAAAGTAACGTCCTATTTCACCTTCAAAGGAACTTTATTTATCCACTTCATTACAACATCTTCTCAGCCTGTCCTATGCTGAAGTATTCTTGTGCAACAGTAATTTAATTCTAAAATTGTAAGTCTTATTCAGAATTTATTAAGTCAAATAATATGTCTAATGGAAGAGACCAGCCTACGACACAAGGACTTCTAGTGATCCCCATACCCCAGAAAGGGAGCAGGGAATAATACCACGAATGTAAAGCCATTGGGTCACCATTAAAACCTTCCTTTCTCCATTGTTGATTAATTGCATTATTTTTTGGTAGATAGACCGTTGGCCCCAGAGTAGCCTTGCGATTCTGTAACAATGTGCACTTCTGTACACATTCTGATAAGGAGGGAGCTTGTAGTTTATTGTTTATCAGAATGCCAAATCGTAAAAATGACTGCTTTACGACTGATTTGAGCGCGACCGCCGCTGTGAAAACCGCTGTGAGAGTTCGAAAAGTGAGTTACAGAATCGCAAGGCTGGTGCTTTCAACGAATAAGTATCGCAATACAGCGAGGAAATGCCGGCATTAAAGGTGCCATAGGGACAATTTTTAACTTTGTTTTAATTTTCTATTTATTAATCTTTCAGAGTGTTCTTGTGTGAAATTATTTTACAACATTTTTCACAGTTTAGGCTTACGTGAGCCATTAGCCGGGGTGGGGCCAGTATTCAATAATAAAACGGGTTTCGTATACAATACTTTATTGAAATAAGTAATACATTTATATAACATAAATTGTGCAGATTATACAGTCTTAAATAATTAATTAACTTATTAATTAACGACTCTGGTACCGAACAAAGCCTTAAACTGCCTTAAGAAAACGTTCAGTTATGGAGCGACGGAAGGTATCAAGCCGCTCGGAACGGGATTGGTCGTTGACGATTCGAATTATATCCGAAATTCATCCCGAAATTTTTCCCATCTAAGTCAATAGAGAAATTACATAGATTTTTTTAAATTAATTCATTTTATGTTCGCGTTAAAATAATATATTCAAACTATAAAAATATATATTTGAATGTGAATTATGAGCAATGAGGAGTATTTAATATAATCTCAATCCTTAAATAGTAATATCATAATCAAAATTCATTCGTTTTTTTCATCATTGTTGACCGTCAACCATATCGCTCGCTTCCAAAACCTGAAATAAAATTAAAATTTAACTTTGAATCTGACATTAACTTTGAATCTCAGAACAACATAGAATCTGACATTACCTTTATATCTGACATTGACTTAAAATCTGACAGAGTCAATACTCTGAATCTGACATTAACTTTAACTTATTAATTTTGTCCATACTCACTCTCTTAATCTTCTTTCCGTACATAGACCAAAAAGTGACTTTGACCTCAGTAGGTTTGCCTGTACGTGCGTCAAATACCCTGCAACTGTTGAACGGTGGGCAATACAAGTGTAGAGACACGGCACCGTCTACATGTGATGGATTCTCCATTCTGTGCAAGCCTAGGGCATCTGTAAAAGAAAGAATTTATCATTATGTTTTGACTGCATTTGAAAGAGACTTACAGTTCTTTCTGAATATGTTTCTCAATTTTACTTAGGCAAGTAAACAGCCTTCTGTGCCTGCCGACACGAGCGAGCGTTAAATCATCACTTGGTTAAAGCCGGGGTTCGAACCTAGGAAATATGAGACATGCCATTAGGCGAACACTGCCGCAACGGCATCTGTAGCCGCGAAGCTGGTATTTATATTCCGCTTATGTTGATAAGAGTGGCATTGGGAGGGGCATATAGGAAGATGCACAGATAAAAGGTGGACTTTAAAGACAACTATTTGGACCTAGGGGAAGAAGGAGAAGAGAAGATAGAAGCGTTAGCACGAAGCAAATGGTGAAAGAAATTCATGGACAGAAATATTTGGAATAAGCTGGAGGAGGCCTTTACCCGTGGAGGGGTTCCGATTAAAGGTGAAGGAATTAGGATAACAAGAAAAATATATATAATGAATCTAAACTGTCTATTAGACATTTGTAGCAAATGGAAATTAAACGGGCTTCTTGTCCGAACAACTTATCTGAACACTCTCTATGTTAAATACGGTAGAAGATGCAGAGTGACCCCACATCTCTACGCAACGCCAAGAGATCAAGCCACTGGGAAGGGGATTGGTCGTGTTGCTATAAAAAAAGGGTGTTTTCGGAAAGAGGAGTAGTGACAAATGGTGCCTTTTAAGCGGAAAACGCGAAATTTTGTCTCTTCTTGAGTTAAATTGGAATAGATTTAGTCATTGGATTAGATCTAAAAGTATTAAAGTTTCAGATTTATGGGCGACCAGTCCACTTACTAGACTAATAAAACAGAAGACTTACCATTTATATAACAGACATCATTAATTTCCATTCGGGTCCTTCCAACTTCTTTCATACTCTTTATGTCATAGTTTTCTCTGAACTCATCGAATTCATCCTCACAGTTTACATTATCTCCACCAATCTGACAGTTCTCATTCTCTTTGCCATTCTGACGGTTCCCCTTATCTCCATTGGTGTATTTTGCGTCAGAATTTTCTAAATCTTCACTCTCCAAACAGCATCTTTTCGCTTTTCGCTTCATCTTCTTTATTACCTCGGGTTGGACGTTGTCCGGCCAGTCATACCTGGAATAGGCTTATGTATTAGCAAAATGTGGCCAGTAATCTTCACTTAGAGAAGGAAAAGATCTTTAGGAAACCGGCATTAGGTGTGTAAGGCGCAGCAGGCTGATCACCTACTTGTATATTAAGATACTGATCATGAAACTGATACAGACATCCAAGACAAAGATCAAGGGTTTTTTTCTAGGTTGTTTCAGGGTCGGTTTTCAATATCGTAGTAAGATATTTTCGGAAAGTCTCTCTGGATCTACTAAACAGATTTTGATAATTCTTTTACCAATATACAGCCATGTTATTTTTGAGTATCAGTCTATTGAATTGCTGCCTTAATGTTCGAGTTCAAGAGAAAAGTGAATCGTGTTGGCCTAGTAGCTTCAGCGTGCGATCCCTGAGGTCATGGGTTTGATCATCTGTGCACCAATGGACCTTCTATGTGAGCATTTAACATTCACTTGAACGGTGATGGAATACATCGTGGGGAAGCCGGCTTGCCTTGTACCCAAAGTACGAGTAATCCTTTAATAAGCAAGTAGGTGATCAGCCTTCTATACCTGACACAGGGTCTAATGCCGGCTCCCTAAAGATGTTCCTTCACCAAGAGTATTAAATGAAAGAAATACTTTGTGATCAGCCGGAATTCAAACACACAATATGAGGGTTGGGAGTCCACGAAGACAAGGACAACACTGCTTTAAAAACAATAGAAATTTGGAAGCTAGCTGGAATAAAGATGTTCTTAAATATTCAATATACCTGACTTCCTCTAAGCTCCCACTCAACAGCTTCATGAAGCAATGCGAGTCTGCATGGTCGTGGATGGCCGATGCATGACCTGGACCCCAGCAGAGGATCATGATGTTGAAAGCCCCATTTCCCTGGTCTACCAGGTTTCTCGTATACCTGAAATTGGGATATAGAGAGTGATTTGATGCAGGCAACTAATCCATTTCATGATGCTCAATAGGGAAAAGGAAGATGGAGGAAATTTAGGGCGCTTATAACCAATACATAATTAAGTTCTAAGGGAACGAGGTTTATCTGATGTTCAGTAAAGTTAAATAAAAAATCATTTAATCATATAGGTAACACAATGTTCACTTATGAACGTCAAAAAAAGAAATGTATATGATATGCTTCTAACTTTACATTTAGTGCTAGGTCTCAAATTATTATTAAAAATCCCTATTATAAATATACACATTTTCATGACAGAAAATATGACAGAACAACCTTTCTGGGTCAATTAGTACATAATTAATTATTAGGAAATTGAGAACTGGTCTTTCGCGCGGCCTCAAAGTAAGGTCAGGGTACCTTTATTTCCAACAATACAGTAATCACTCAATAGTAATAATTATGTAGGATAAATTAGATATTTATTCGTTGAAACCACCAGCTCTTGGGTCACCTACCTGGCGCCAACTTAAATCTTTAATTAGCTGTGCACACAACCCCACGGCCTAAGAGTCTCTGGGCAGTGTTATAATGCTGGCATTTCCTCGCTGTATTACGATACTTATTCGTTGAAAGCATCAGCTCTGGGGTCCCAGGTGCCAACTTATATCTTTACATAGTGCACTTGAACCCCAGGGCCCAAGAGTCTCTACTCCATACAAAATCAAAGTTCGAGGAACGACTCTTATATTACAGCTATTCATTATTTATCGCCTGCTCTGCTCAGCTCCAGCTTTTGTGTTTGTCAGAGGAAGGTGAGACGGGCTCTAGATTATTTATGTCATTGCCTTCAGAATGTTGGGGATATTACAATGTATTACGAGGGTGGAGCCCTAACAGCATGCTGGTAATAACAGAAAAGGCAAGATTGCCTGGTAGGTTTGACGGTAAAAATATGTGTGCAGGGGTAATTATAATTTATTTTCATTATTAGGATTAAACATTGAAAGTATTCAAAGATCATCTCATAAGCATCCGCAGTAGCGTAGCAATAGGGTGGCAGGGCTGGCAAAATGCCACGTGCCCCCGACCCAAGCGGGACCCTGCCCAAGAGATATTATGTTCTATGGATAAATGTGAAGTCTCTCGCCTAAAAGAGGAGGCCTATGGCCATACAACGTGTAATTGAGTACGCTGAAATTCTCGATGTTTATTAAAATCAAACTGAGTACAACGTGTCGATTTTTACTGATAGGGCCCCATCAAAAGAATTCTCCATGGGCCCCAGATGGTATAGTTACGCCACTAGGCATCCGTACCATCAACGACAAATTTAAAATAATGCCACTGTACGATCGGAGATCTGTAGCCGGTGTCACGTTCTCACAAATTGCTAACTGATCAAATACAGAAAAGTAATTGTATTCCCGTATTCATTTAAATCAAAATCAGCAATTGTCTCTCCGCTGTTTTTTAGCAAAAAATTACTAGTAAAATTTAAAATTGGAAGTGTAATATTTTTATTATCGACTTAACAGACAATACTGTTTAAAGAAATAAATTATAATTTAAAGTATTTACTGGATTTCAAATAATATTTGTCAACACTTTACGTCTGTTTGTTAAAAAACTCGTTCATAAAATTTCCATAGATTGACGACATTGATAATATTTACACTGCGATTATGATTACGGAAGGTGTATTTTTATGTTCATAATTTATTTATTACAGAAATACGTACATTATCCTTACAGACTATGCCAAAACGATAATTTCGAGAAACATTAAAAAAAATATAATAAAGTACATATATATAATATTAATATTAATACACAATATCGCTACTGTGAATTCACTCTGCGAACATATAAATATGTCGATAGTTATTGGTGTTACGTAAAACGTATGCCATGTATTATTTTTTTAAAAATCGGTTGTCTGTAAAGTCGGTTTACTGACGATAGTTGAACGTGACAACGTCATAAGAAAATACTGATTGAATGGAATGGAATGGAATGGTTGCATTTTTCAAAAGAAAATTTAAATTTTATTTGTTTGATAGATATTTTGTATGGATATAGAGAAGGAGGTAAATGGAAATCGCAATTACATTGATCAAGTTACATTTATTTCTACGCATAAATACAATTATGTCAATTTTTTAACGAACGAACGCTGCCGAACGCGGAGGCCGATTGTGCCTCTTTGTCGCTCGTTCCGCGCTCTCGTTTGCACTTCAAGCTTTAAATAGATCGCCTCAGAGCGAGGTAACGCCGCATGCGTCATGTTTTTTCGTGCGTGCAGCCGGCTACATCGAATTATAAGACGTTGTCACGTCAAAAAGTCTCACAACGCAGTTCTTCTACCGTAAAAAGTGATCATGTTTTCGGTTAATTCAGCCCCAACTTAAGGGATCTTCTGTCTAAAGTTATTGCGTATATAACCTAACAACGTATAGTGACTATCAATATTAAACACTTATTGTATTCTTGAAGCTTTTATGGAGTATATTACAGCGATTTGGGATCCCTATAAAAGTATATTTAAAATTAAGTAGCGGGTACAAAACATGTTTTATTCACTTGTTAATTAGGGTCACCTGTTAGTGACAAGAGTGATTTTTATATAAAAACTAGCTGCCCCCGCGAACTTCGTTTCTCCTTAATGTGATTTTACTTAGCCTACCTTTTGAGTACAACATAGAATATTTTGCTATGCTACAAAGACTGTTCGGTTTTCCAGAAATAAAACTTATTAGGTTTTTCTATGTATATAAATATATACTTATTTTTCTCTATATCTCTGGAGAGGGGTGAAAATTAAGGGTTGTATGTATTTTTGTATGCTGTATCATACAAAAATAAAAACATTTTTTTTTATCTAAAAAATAAAAATTTAAATTTAAGGATGGACCCTTAACATTTAGGGGTTTGAAAGATAGATAGTAGCCGATTCTCAGACTTACTGAATATGCATAAAAAATTCATAAGAATCGGTCGAGCCGTTTCGGAGGAGTATGGGAACGAACATTGTCACACGAGAATTTTACATATTAGATAAATCCATTTGAATAAGTGTTAGTGCTAGTAACTTACATAAGTGCTAAGTGATAAGTGAATAGAACACAAGAACCGAGTGTCTTTATATAGACTGTAATTTGTTTAATTGAACACATTCTTATGTTAATAATAAAATACTTGTTAGGCAAGATCGTAATGTACCATGATGTCTCAGTGAAGCTGTGGCGTATCTATACCATCTGGGGCCCATGGCAAATCTTCTTTCGTGGCAATCTTTTGATGGGATATCAGTAAAAATCGTCCCTACTCAGTTTAATTTTAATAAACTTCGAGATTTTTCAGCGTACTCAATTTCACGTTGTATATGTCCCACTAATGCCCATAGGCTTCCTCTCTTAGGCGAGAGGGAATGGTCTGTAGTCCCCACGCTAGCCCAAAGCGTATTGGAGACTTCACATTCATCCATATAACATAATATCTCTTGGGCAGGGGCCCGTGGCCTTTTGCCAGCCCTGTCACCCTATTAATACGCCACTGCAGTGAAGAGACAATGTATTTAAAAAAAACTCGTATGTTTTTTTAAATATTATATTTGATTTCAGATCTGAGGAATTGAATCATTCCTTAGATCTAAAAATGTCAGGCACAGAAGGCTGATCACATACCTACTTGCCTATTCTGGACCTGAGCTCCAGAACGAGGATTGTAGCGCTCCTGTATTTAAAAAAAAATGGGTGTCACAGGCTTCAGTAAAATCTGACTGCACCAAGAGACTGTTTGATGAAGAATCTCGTTGCCATATTATTGTTCACTTACGCCCGGTTCCTATAAAGGTACCAGACGTTATTGCTACTAAGTATTTGATGCACACAGGTTGTTAAGGATCCACCATCATGTTAATGTCGAAGCTATACAAGTTGACACCACGGTTCTGGTGAGAAGATTGAAAAGGATAAATTCATTTGAATAAGTGTTAGTGCATGTTAGTGCTAAGTTGTAAGTGAATGGAACTCAAGAACATAGTGTCTTAATAGAGACTGTAAGTACTGGACACTTTCTTATATTTATTAGTTACTTATTAGTCTTAAGTTAGACTAGATCGTAATGTCTTACGAGTTAACTGTCGAAATAACTTGAATTTTGAAGAAGTTTTTCAAATTTGACGTAAGAATTGTCTAAGAAATCGGTGGCGCTACCTTTGTAGGTTTGGGCCTCAGATTTCTCTATCTGTTTCATGATCATTTGTCAGGCAAGTAATAGCCTCCTGTGCCTGACACACGCCGTCGACTTTTTGGACATATCGATTTTCTCACGATGTTTTCCTTCACCGTTCGAGAGAATGTTTAATGCGCACATGGTCCATTGGTGCATAGCCATGGAACATATGACCTCAGGGATAAGAGTCGCTGAAGCCACTAGGCCAACACTGATCTTGGACAATACTATTGACTAACGTTTATAAGTAAAATTGTTTGTGTGAGCTCTGGGTATCTTGACTTGTCCTTGACTATTAACGAAAGGTCTGTTGAAACTTATCAGTTGTAGGATAAGGAATATAATGGGAGAAATTATTCTGATGAATACTTTGCGTTTAATAATAACGCAGAAACACTAAAAGATATATGGGTGTACTAAAGACACAATGGAAGGGAAAAGAAGAGAGGGCAGGCCAAAAAGAAGGCAGGAAAAGAATGGCTATTGGCAAAGATTCATCTGGAAAGGGTGGTGGCCTTCAAGAAGAGTCCATATTCACAGGCGACAAACATATTACTTACATTTGAAATGGAAATTAAGTATATATTATGAAGCAAGCGGATAGGAGGCTCATCTGACAATTGACGGCCTTTTAAGATTGGGTACCCTCTTTTGGACCCTAAGTCGAATTGGTTCGGAGATACTTCAGTGGGCAGCTGGTTCCACATAGTGGTGGTTCGCGGCAACTGCCTTAAATAACAATCAGTTGTGATGAAATTCAGCTGCAGTTATTGATCCTAACAACTCCTCTGAACACTCTCCATTGTAAATGTGGTAGAAGATGCAGAGAGATCCCACAACACTACGCCGAGGGATCAAGCCGCTCGAAAAGTGGCTAGTCGTCGACGCTTCGAACCGCTCTTCTTTTACGATCAAGTGGAAGAAGCTGGTACTGGGGAGCTCCCGCCCATAGTGAGAACCCATGTGGGTCGAATTTGCGCTTTATAGAGTTGTGAGTATTATTATTAATTAAAGTTAAAAAAAAATTACAATTAATACTTGAACAGTGTTTAATAATCTTATCAGTCAAGTGTTTAAACAAAGAACTCTTGTACAAAGAAAACATTCTTTATCAAGAAACCATTCGTTCTTTAATTATTGTCAAGTACCACTTAATCCAGCCTCGAAGGACTTTTTCTTTTATTTAAAACTAGCTGTGCTGCATGTGCATAATTCAGTAAGCACGATGTTCCATAGCCTAAAGCTTTCGGTAAAGACATTTAAATGCTTTTTTGTAGATATTGATGTCTTCTATAAAACTATAGTACATTGCTCTATTGTCAATAGTTTCCGCATGATATAGGAATCTTTATTGGTTTATTCATTTGGGTTATACTGTCTTAATTTAATTTATTTGTTAGACTTTTGAGTAAATATCGATGTCTTCTATAAACCTTTAGCACATTGCTCTATTGTCAATAGTTTCCGCAGCATATAGGAATCGTTATTGGTCATTTTCATTTGGGTATCGTAAAATACACTAAGTTTTTTGAAATATATAGCTATGTTCATCATAGTAGGGTTCTAATGGTGAAATAATTTTTCAAATTCTGCCGTTTTGGAGCCTGTTCCTGTTGTAGGAAGACAACTTAGAAGGTGGATAGAGAAAGAAAACAGCAAAACATGGCAAAGAGTGCCACAGTGCAGAATGGAATAGGATTTGGAGGAGGCCTTTGACAAAAAGTTCACACAATAGAAATATAAATACGTTTATGTGTCTGAAATAAAAGGCATATTATCACCGGACATTGCTGAAGAGTAATTTCTAATGAACTTACCTAAAACGGTCATATTTCGCGTACTTCCGCCAATCCTTCGGATCTGATTTATATCCAAGCATCAGTTTCTGAACATCCTGTATATTGACGTGACTGTGCGAGAACACCCTGTGCAACTCCTCAATCAACTTATCTAAGCCAGTAATTTCTCTGTAATAAAAGCTCAATTAAGTTGATATCAACCTTGTTCAGATTTCACTTGAACATTTACAGCTGACACGGTTCATGTGGCTGTTCCAAATAACAGCTGAAGGTGATACACCAATAGCTCCCAAGAACAATCGATGTGTGAATATGTCTAAGCAGTATTAAAGATATTAAAACAATAAATGGGAAATATTGCTGTTATATTCAATTATCGTTTCCTCACAAACTAAAACGAAGACAAGCTCTTAATTATATTGGTAAGTGCGATAGCTATAAGAAAATCCCACCACCATGGACCTCTGATCCCACCAGGACTCCGCCTGGTATCGTAAGTCTCTTGGTGCTATCCTACCACATATTCACTAGTTATGTGGTAGGATCCATCTGTCGGGCTTAGGCATCCGTAGGGTTGGTAGGCTCTCACTCTAACAACCCCACAGATGTTAAGGTTTTCATATATTGAGTAAAGAAAACACTTTTAAACCGGATTAAAGTTATGTATCATTATAAATTTACAATTATTTTACATTTGACCGACGTTTCGCGTGCTTTACAGCGTGCGTGGTCACGGTAACTGTGTGTGGGATTATTTATTTCCCGGAGGTAGTATCGACTAAAAGATGGAGGGTTTTGGCAGAAATGGTTCACGGTGTCCCCTATTTTCGCGGATTGTTTATCTTGAGATTAATTTGGATATTATTGGTTGTCGGTTAAAAAGTGTTTCTTTAAATGTGTAAAGGTTATGTCAATTAAAGACAATACTATTAATTTAGTAATCTAGTGCAGCTAATACATACACTACATACAGATACTCCTGACATTTAAATTTAGACTCACATTTCGCAGACCACTGCTAGGCTTAGGAATCAAAAGGCAATCGCGCAAGGCAAAGTTCGCAGCGGCAGCTAGTTTGACTTTAAATCATAAGATATTTGGCAAGAAATATTAGCTTTCTCCTCTGACTATTGGATTCAAGATTTATATTTCTACCTCAACGATACATTGAGAAAAAGCCATTAAAGGTACTAACTCTTTTGCCAAAAATACAAATTTAATCATGAAATATAAGGCAAATATCAAAATATATAAACTAATTTGAACACATATACTAAAATTAACAGTACTGTGATAATATACTTACACGTCAAGTTTAAGCGGTTTGTCAACACACAATTGTTCCATATCAACGTTGTCTATGCATTCTGATACCTTCGTCTTGCAATTTGCATTCTCTATCTCCATAGCTGCAATTAGAAAAATTCGTTTTATTTATATACTAGCTGTGCTTACACGTTGTTCTATAGCCTACAGCCTTGCGATTCTGTAACTCACTTTTCACTCACAGCGAAAACCGCTGTGTGAGTTCGAAAAGTGAGTTACAGAATCGCAAGGCAGCTTTCGGTATAGACTTTTAAATGCAAAACTTTTGAGTATATATTGAAGTATTCTATAAAACTGTACATAGCTTTATTGTCAATAGTTTCCGCTGCAAATTACTTTTATTGGTTACTTTTTGAAGTCATACTTCTTTAGGCGCGTTATGAAAAATTGATGAGAGTGAAATTTTACGATGCGCGCGCGCACCTTGACACAAAATTAACAGAATGAAGTTGCCCATGGAAGATGCTTCGGCATTGGACATAATTTAAAAACAACATTCGAATAATAATAGAATTTATGTTACACTTAGGGTCGATTCGACCAAACTTCAATTTATACACGAGTAACTATACCAGGAATAATATATTCCATGAATTTAATCTCGAGTAAATCCATAGTCGTTTCTCCACGTAATCGATAGTATAATTATTGCGCTAGGAATAACAATACGCGAATAGCAAAGAGAATGGTGAACGAAAATAAAACTCGGCAAATAAATGTTGTTCTACAACGGGACAGTGTAAGAGCATACATCATGTCAACTCGATTTTGCCGTATTATAGTGTGAAAAAGTAGCTTTTAACAGGTGTCACACGACAACAAAAAGTTTTTATTTGTTGTTTGTTTAAGGCTTTCGTCTAAAAAGGAACTTCTGTTGAGCCTAGTTGAATTTCATTTTAATATTATAGGAAATAAAAAATCTAAAAATAAATAAATAAATAATAAATTGTTTAAACGTTTCATTATACAATGCCAGACTATTAATTTAGTGCGTTGCGTTGACTTGAAATTAAAACACAGAATACATATTTGTGAAATGACAGAAATCAGATGATTGGACTGACTGACGCCATTAAATTATTATTCTAGGAATAGCTGTTATTCCGTGCGAAACGGCGGTATAGTAGCAATTCCCGATGAGACCCACTATTCTTAGATTTTGTAGATGGTGAAACGTAAAATTGATTTACTCTCGGTTAACTGACGATTTATTCTAAGATTAAGATTTACTCTTGTTTGGTCGAATCGACCCTTAATGTAAGAGAATAATAATAAATAATTATTTATTTAATTTTTCAAATGTAAACTGAACTTTATTGACTATAATGACTCATTTTCCAGTCTTTGATTATTTAATTGTAATGAATTATTTGCATGCAATCAAAAACTATTTTTAATAATGCCAAAGAAGTGTAACTTACGCGCGTACATAAGTACACGCACCCTTTTTTTTATAGGACAGGGGGCAAACGGGTAGGAGGCTCATCTAATGTTAAGTGATACCGCCGCCCATGAAGCTCAATGCCAGCGGGCTCGCGAGTGCGTTGCCGGCCTTTTTTATAGTATGATGTTAAGTGATACCATGGACATTTTCAATGCCAGAGGGCTGTGCGTCGCCGACCTTCTCTAGTACCTCCAGGATTTGGTCCTGGTACGCCAAGACCCGACCCGACCTCACCATTTGGTGGCAGCTTTTCCGGCCTTTTAGGTCTCTTTGAATCTCATATATATGGAATAAACATACCATAAGTGGTCAAAAGTTGAAGATTCGAGATGATCATTTCCCATAATGACCAATACAGTGATCGTACCGCTACATTTTATCACTATTAACTAGCTGTATTGTGTATTGATTTATTGTCTATTGGAAAATCTTAGATTATATAACACTATTGACCGACATCAATGGGCAGAAATTTTGGGTTTGAATTGTATTTTATTATTATTATATTTAAAATAGTGTCGCTATAAAGATTATTTTATCACCTCTAAGAAAATAAATAAAATTAATGTCTTATCTGAATTTGCACAAACAATAGGTGTTTGGCGCCTTTTTTTTCTTTTTAATTGGATTTAATATAATGTAGATCTCTTTGGTGCGTGACGCTAAATACAATGACATTCTAAATTCAAATAACTATTACTTCCTAAGGATAGGATCGAAAATGCATTTCGCGCTTTATTATTTTTTTAATTGGAATTGGCTGTGGAAAAAATTATTTCCACAGCCAGTGACTAATTCAAACAAACCACATTCCAAATTCAAATACTATTACTTCCTAAGGATAGGAACAACAGAGTGCATTTCGCGCGTTTTTATATTTTTTTAATTCGTCAATACAATATGCGCATTCCAAATTCAAATCTGTTGGCTAAATTGATGTTATGAAGAAATTGTTTGCAATATATACTTAGTACGATAATATTATGTCAACAAAAACAACATATTATGATAAACACTACGTCATACAGATATCTTGTTGATGAGGCAATTCTATGACGCTCTTTACTCAATGTATATCTATAATCGGTCATCTCTGCCTGACACGCTAATACAAGATTTAAACTTTGATTTTGTTCCCTTGGGCCGTGGGGTTCAGATTAAAATTGGCGTCTTAACCCCAGAGCTGGGGCCAAGACCTAAAAAGGTTGTAGCGATGTTTTAAGTCCGGGCCTCAATATGGCTCTTATAGACAAGTAGACCAGTACTCAAAGGTAGCCTTAGTGATGGTGCGCATAACATGGTGCTTTTCAGTCTGTGGACTTGGGAAACTCTTGAAACTAGCAGAAGCAGGTCAAAAAGTCTGTGTCTTCCAGAGTGGTTTTAAGGTGACGAACATGTCACCGCTTTTCTCGATGTTATATAATTAGATAAGGTCAAATACTTCGGGCATTCGATGTTGCTGACGTTGAAGGTCGCTGTTAGAGTTATGGTGCCTGATTGTGGCTCTCTTTTTATAGTAGCTTTGTGTTCAGGTTCAAAGTCTCACGTCTCACGATTGTGCTGTTAACAGATTAACAAGAGCCGGCTTGTCAGAACTTTAGAGGAGAACGGAGAAAGATAAGGGCATTCGAAATGTGGAGAGAGAATGTTGCAAATACCATGAGAACCAATAAGTCCATTCTTAATCAACTAAAACTAGACTGTCGACTATCATTTACAAACGGCTTAGCTACTGGCCAGATTGTCAGGAGAAAAGGGAATAGTCTCGACAAGCCGGTGTGGGAGGAGTCATGGCAGGAGATCTCGAAGACGTTCGCATACCAGTTGGTAATGAATTAAGACAAAAGGGTCCCAACATCTCTAATGCACTGAAAAGTAAGAATGTGGAGGCAGCAAGACAGGCACGACCTGTCTGAAGTTTACGAAGAAGGAGAACAGATTAACAGTTAAACTGTGATGGAAAATGACTCGGCCAAGGATGGAGTCTCCCTCGCAATTGCAGTGTGTCTACAACGTTTGCTTGTGCTGGTGTGGACTGATTTTACGCCATGTGCAAGCGAGCTGTATCTCTGGTAATCTAAGGGGAGGCCCTAACAGTATGCTGTTCGTAATAGCGGATAGCTGGATTGACCATGGGTGATTCGTATATTATATAATAATAATAGTAAAGCCCGTTTTATTTCCAATCATGACAATAACAAATTATAATACACAGCTTAGATTATTTTACTTTTTTATAATTAATTTTTTCTTTTGCTTGTTATCCTATATCCTAGCTTCCTTCAGTACCGTCGATCGGAACCCCTTCACAGGCAAAGGCCTCCTCCAACTTTTTTCAACTGACTCTGTCTATGGCTCTCTTTCTCCATTCGTTTCCTGCTACTGCTTCTATTTCTTCTGTCCACCTTTTTTTTGGGCGACCTCTTCTCCTTCTTCTGTATATGGAAAGGAACAAGAGGTACACAGCATTAAACCTTCGAGCCGTTTCTGCAGCACTAATGCCACGGTGGAACTCGTTATCGTAAATAATACGCTATTTCATGTTTTCCAATTTATAAATAGAGAGACGCAAAGAAAAAAAAATTAAAACAGGAAAATGAAATAAATCGAAAAACAAATGCACAAGTAAATAGCTTTAAAAATTGAATTTGGAGTTCCTAACCAAAGAGGAGATATTTGAGGTCAAAGCCAAAGAAAGGCTAGTACGAAAAAACGCCAATTTCATATGTAAGGACCTAATATAAACCTCTAAACGAACCAATATGAAACATTGTTTAGACATGATGCGTTTCAATTAACATATACTTGACATCCATTGACATTTATTATAAATATTGACTTATAAACCTCACTTAAGAGTTTATTTCGTTGAATGGGAGACACGACAAACAAGATGGCGGATTCCACTGTGTTACATTAATTAGATTTAATTGAATATAATATACTGAAACTGTCATTTTCAGTATTTTAGTTAAGGAAATATTAGATTCAGGAGCTGGTCTACAATGAGCTTTCTTAAAAACAATCCAGTTGAGATGCTGATGAGTTTAGGTTCCTAAAGTCAATAGCAAGTTTTCGAACCGTGACCACATATAAGCTGAAACGATAAATTTGTTTAGGAATATGATAGCTGACAATTATTATTTTTAAACGATTTCGTCAAAGCTTTCAATATTTAGGTGTTTACAAAATTTCAATTTTATAAAAATAGTTTTACAAATTGTTAAACTTTTAAGTATGATGGGGTAAGTATTGTTCAAAAATTTATTTTTTAAAAATAAATACCTATATCGAAGTGAATTCCTGATATAAAACCCTTTGCAAAGATATTACAAATCAACTTATAACTCGAAAATCATAAGTAACTATATTAAAAGTTAATTTTAAAATTGTACAAATTTAGTTTATACGTTAACATTAGTTATTGAACGATCATATAATATTTTTATTTACAGCTTAAACCAGAAAAACTCGCTGAATTGAGATATATGTTGGCAAAGAATATATGTATATGTTTATACTCAGTTGAATATTGCCTGGAGACATCTTTTTCTTGATGGCGTGATTTAACTAAATAAATACTGTTATTAGAATATTTTCAAATGGCTTATTATTAACATATTATCAATTTGAAAAA